ATCACCCTTTCTGTGAAGACATTCCTCCTGATGTCCAGCCTAAACGTGCCCTGGCCCAGTTTAGGACTGTGTCCTCTTGTGCTGTCGCTGGTTCTCCGGGAGCAGAGCCCGACTCCCACCTGGCTACAGCCTCCTGTCGGGGTTGTAGAGAGCAATGAGGTCCCCCCTGAGCCTCCTCGCTGTAACCCGGCCTGTCAGGCAGCAAAAGTGCTCTGTAGAGTTGTTCGTTTTGGGGTTTTGTTTGTTTGTTTGTGGTTTTGTTTGTTTGGTTTTTTTTTTTGTTGTTGTTGTTTTGTTTTTTTTTTTTTAAAGAAACATCCTGTAATATCTTGACTGACCAAAACAGGATCACTTTTCTGCGCCCTCATCAGACGCCTTCTCAGTGCTGCCCTGCTCAGGGTTCCCAGCGCCCCAGGGGATGTAGGACCACCTGTACTATTCACTGTTTCCTATGATCTCTAATAAATGGCGATTTAAATGATGCTTAATGGAGCGTGAGCTCCTGCCTCGGTGGGATCATCCCAGGCCAGCGGCTGCTGGTGCAAATCCCGGTCTGCAGGGAGGATGTGGGCGGTGGATGTGTGTGGCAAAGGTCAATGCTCACTGACCTTTTCACAAAAAAACCCAACACCCATAAAGGACAACAAGCCACCGAGGAACAGACATCCTAGAACATCCTCTGGGTCATCCACATCCTGGTGTTGCAATGTTTAATTATCGATTTATTTATTTAATTTTTTTAACTTAATTTAAAGAGGAGAAAAGGAGTAGTACTTCCCCTTCCTGCCCACTTCTGTTCACACATAGACACACGTACTTCCCATGATAAAGACACCCCTGTATTCCAGACAGGGATTGGGCTGGACTGGGAACCTTGCTGTATTTCCTGCAGGCCAAGCACCCCTTTCACCTAAGGTCAGCAAACATCTGTAGCCTCAGTGTGGGAATCTGAGTAGTGTTACTGTCAAGTGACAGGACAAACTGTGCTCTCCTGCTCGGTGGGATGAGGTACTTGAACATAACGCCGAGGTACTTGAACATAATACAATTTCTGACACATCAAGGAACTTCAGAGCTGTTGAGAAGGTCTTGTAAAAAAAAAAAAGCACAACATTTAGGAAAAGTCAGAAACATAATGAAGAATTTCTCTTAAGTTTCTGCTGCCTCCAGTTGTCTTGATACTTAAATAAATGTTTCCTGTCTGCATTGTAGTAGTACATCCCTTGCAATGCCAATAAAAAATGAGCAAGAATGTTTTGTACTTTCCCATTTGAATGTGACTGAGCAGTACTCACTACATACAGACAATATCAAATACAGTAACTGTTGATTAGTACTTAGAGCTACCTTTATTCCATACAGAGCAGTGTAACAGGTCCTATATTCGCTGTAGTTTGGCATAAATTGTGTAATGGAAAGGAGGGGCAGATCAGGCCATGTGCATTGGTCAGCTGTCAGTGGGAAGATGAGGATGAAGTCTGAGTTTCTAAAGTATATGATAAAACAAGGCATGGTTAAGGCAATATCTTATTACAACAGCTAGTATAGATTTTTTAGCAAGCAAATGCTTCAGGGTGAAAAAAGCACCCTTATTTAGCTCTAAAACAGAAGCAACAAACTTCCAGTCAGAGTGAAACTACAGAACAATTCTCCAAATTTCTTTACATGTGAATGAGATAATCTGAGAGAAAAGGAACCTGGTATCCGTGGAACAGAGGTAATGTTAGCAGGAGAGTGAGAGGTAGATTATTATCCCTTGGTGGTAGGGGAAGAGAATAGAGAAACAGGTAATTTCTAATCTCTAAAACATGGAAAAGAGAGGCAGAAAGGAGATTATAATATGTCACAAAGAAAATCAAGTGCTACCTGGAATCCACTAGCTTTGCCTTTGTCCTTAGGCCCATCTGCTCTGGCACCATCATGACAAGTGTTGGTTGTGGCCCCTCCTGATGGCCTTAGTTGTGCTGCCTGCTCTCTCACAGAGTGCTTTCATTCAGGTTGCCAGGAGAGACACAAGGCATTACTGTGGTGTTTTGCAAGGAGAACAGTTACTTATCTGAGTGGGAAGGCTGTGTTTTTAGTGCTGTCCTCTGCTGCACATTTAGCTGCTCGAGTTCTGCCAATGGACATCTGAAATGAGTGGTTTTTAGAGCAGTACTGAATCACAGGCTTTCTGCAGTAGTAAGGCTTTAATGGCAGTGGTGGACTGTGCATCACCACAGTCCAGAGTCCTGGAGCCATAAAATATTGCTGAGTAATAAAAAAAAAAGAAGAAAAAGAAGAAAACAAAAAGCAACACAGGGACTCTCTATTGTAGGAATACACTATAACTCATTATCTACTGGAATATATAACCACTGGGCAATTTTTAAACTTACATGAATGAAAAATGTCAAAGTTCATAACCCGGTATCCTACACTATAGTGACTATTGTATCCTACAATATAGTGAGCAGTTCTATTGCTATTTTATTTAAGACTATGTTTTTCAAGCTTCTTGACGTAAAAAGAAACTGTCTTTGCCATAATAATCTCGTTGACATATAAAAATAAGTTATCTAAATAATTTGTTCAGGAAAATATTTGATAAATTGCTAGTGTTGTTTTTATAACTAATTAATTCTGTAACATTAAGGTTATATGAGTCCTTTTTATTGTGAGACAGTTTTCATGAGAATAAATGGTCCAGACAAACATACCAACCATACTTTATTTTTTATGAAGCACTGTAAACATCCCATACCACCTGAGACCTTTATTATGAAACCCACACTTAAATATACACAAAATATCTCAAATATAAGTGTTGAGATACAGATCAAGGCTTTTTTCCCCACCCCTGTCAATATATCTGATGCAGAAGATGCTACTGGTTTTAATAAATAAAATTATGATAGGATGAAGGTATCTAAGAAAGTTATTCTTTGCTGTATATATAGACATCAGCATCTTTGTACCCTTTCTTGGGTATTTGAATGACAGTGGGTTAGTCCTTTGGTTTTTCACGCACTTGTAAACAGAACTGTTTCTTCTGTTTGTAAACAGACTTTTTTTAAACAGTGTGCAACTACTGGATGGAAATAAGCTGATCTACATGAGGAATAACTACAGTATCATCATTTTATATTAGACATTAAGTTAGCAGACATCCTCCAGCTGGATATAAAAACCTTTTAATGATATATTGATCTGAATTCAATGCAAATAGTTAACACAGTGCATGTCATTAATAGCATATTCCTAATTACTTCTTTATTATAGATGAAAAATGAGCTGTAATATGGATTTTTTATTTATTTCAAGTAAATAAAATACCATGTTCTCCTGCAAGAATATTTGTAGACAAAGATGTAATTATTAAAAAACAAGGTTTCACATGTTAAGATAGAGAAAATACTCATGAGTATTCACAATCAGCCAAGTTTAAAAGCATTGCAAAGTTCTGTGTGCTTAATTTTATATTTCCATCAAGAATTGTACATTCTTTGCTTTAAACTTCTGCTTCTAGACATTTTACTGTGGCCTCAGGCTTAGTTTTAGACTCTTCTACCTTATTTCCATTAGTCTGTGCTTCCTTCTCAGGTGTTTTGTCATTTAACTTTGCCTCTTTGAGAGCAACCGTTCCAACCATTTCTTTTTCCTGAGTCTTGTTTAAAAATGGGAAGGTTTTCTTGTACCTTTAAATGGAAAAGAAAAGGATAGTAAAGCAGAAACATTGACATAGTTTGGTAGTATCACTCAGGAAATACAGTGAAAAATAGCTGGAAGTAACTTACTCTGCCATGCTCATGCAAAAATCTCACAGAGAATGATGGCTTGCTAGATCTTTGTGCTTTTTTAAGCACAAAGATTTCTAAAGAAATATTTTGGTATTTTTTTTTAAACAGACAACATATATTCAGGATTTGTGGTACACAACAATAAAGCTACCTGGGCTAAGATGTGAGAGATGCACAACTTTTTGATAGAATTTAGTGATGCACTGTGTTGAAGATCTTTACACATGACAAATGAGCTCAACTATTTTTTTTTTCTGAGCACAATCACAGTGCAATTATAAAATCTTTCACCTTGAGTCTGACATATTAGAAAAAGAGGGATAAAACTGCATAAACAGGTTTGTAAATGAACAGATACACAATTCAGTGTTGTTATTTTGACACACTTGGAAATGTTTCACACTAGACGTGATTGACCAATCAAAAATAGGCAATATTTGTCTTTGGTTCCTTTTCTAAAGCAGAGAATGGCAACAGCAACAACAAACTTATCTGTATAGCAACTGGGTTTAAGTGGTTTTTTCTTTGTGCTTCACTGTTTTGTCGTCATCATTACTTCTCTGCTCTTTAGCTATATATTTTAAATATTCACTGGTTGTACTCTGGGGGTTAACTCAGTCTCAGATAGAAAAAAAAAAAACAACTTACTTTTTGATATAACAGACTGCTAGAACAACTGAAATAATGAAGAAGATGATTGCCAGGACAAGAAGTGCAGTGGGGATACCTGGAGATAAAAGTGATATAATCATAAAATTTTATTTGTACGTAATGCTGAATTTCTAAAGGCTCGTGAGCATAAATCCAGATTCTTCTAAAACCAGCCTAATGTAAGAGAACATACACATCAACTCAAGAATAGAGGTATTAGGAATCTCAAAAGATGAGTTACTCCTGCTCATTTTTTCGAGAGAGACTAAAACAGGTATTTAGGCAATCCCTGACAGATATTTGTCTAATCTGCTCATTGGAGAGTTTTTACAACCTGCCTAAGAGAACACATTGTTGGGATTAACTATCCTTACAGTTGGAATTCTTTTCCTCATATTTAGTCCATTTCTCCATTGCTATGTGTTAGGGTTACTTACTCACATCTCACATCTTGAGAACACCTCCATATTTAGATAACAACAATTCTCCTTAAAACTTCTTTGTTTTTAAGAGCTTGATGAGTTTTCCACTACTCTGAGCACATAGTGTTTGCCAAGGCTTTTTTAGGGATGTATTTACCCCAAGTCACATTAACCAGAATGAACTTCCACCGTTTCATATCAAAATATTATCAAAGAGTAGAAAACCAGACCTTACTTCTACTTAAAAAGTATTTTTAAATCCTCTGCCTTATAAGCTTTGCTTCTGCAAAACCCTAACACTCCTCTTCTGCCTGCAGGTTCATCAAAATGGATGCTGGAGTAGCGACCAAAAATAGCAGCAAACAGATTGACTACTGACTTCTACCTAAGTCACTCTGCTGATGAAATAACTGCCCCGCAAGGCCTTTACCTCCAAAGATGACAGAGTCGTTCTTAAAGGCAGACCGGGCAGTGTGGCTGGGAGAGGCAGTCGCAGAGGATTCCTCTGGCAGCGCTGTGCTGGTCCCCTCTGTGGGTAACGTTTCAGTTACACAGATGACACGAAACCTTCTGTTTTTCAGGAATTGCTCTGGCTCAGTCACAGTGGGCACTGCTGTGATGTTCTCAGTGAAATCAGAGGCTGAGTGTGCAGTCGAGTCCGTTGATGCACTCGATGAAGGAAATGTTGCTGTGGTTGGGTCTGGTTTACATGAATCAATCTGGATATCTGCAGCAGGGAAAGGAAATACGTGAACAGTTGTGTTGGATGCTAGTTTTGTACTTACTGCACACACATTTATTGAAATTGTCCCTCAGTCATTCCTTTCTGGAAATTATTATTTGTTCACAAAAGCCTTACCCAAATCAGCCATGGCCATTTCAAACATGTGGTTACAATGCAGATTACACAGCTTTTATCATTACTCACATAATTAAACACTCTTTTGAGCAAGTGTAGCACTAATTTTTTTTTGCAAATCAATGACAAGATTCCCCATGGAAAGTATGTAGAATAATATTGCATATAAAAACTAAGAGTATAACCTTCTGCAGAGCAGGAGACTTAACTACTGCAGATTCAATGTTCAAAAATATTTCCATGATATTATGTACATGTTCAAAACATATGCATGCACTGTTGATACTTGGAAAACTGATTTGATATCTTGGAAACAATAGCAGCCCATAAAACTTTCAGATACATCAGGCACTAGTGTGAAATAATAAAGAGACATGATTTTAATGGGATGGGGGGCCTAGGAAGAGACAAACTTCAGGTTTGAAGAAAAAAAAGTAATTTTCAGAAATTAAGTCATTTAAATGAAGTGAATGTTGTCTATATAAAAATGTAGATGCAAGGGAAATCTTTTATGCAAGTGGAAAAGCTGAGTTCCGAATAGGGCTCATGTGAAAATGTGGAAACTCTTCTTTGCTAGTGAAGTTCTGTATTCTGTAAAGCTATAAAAATTTCACTAAGGTAACAACCAAATTACAACATAAATAAGAGGGAAATGACGTATGCACTGTTGTCCCCATGAATCCCCATGGGAAGTCTGATGACGCAGTTACACTCACAGAATAAAAAGCTAAATGGCAGGGGCTTTATACTTTTTCCATGATGGTTTTCAAGCGCCTTTGGCACCTTTTCTGGCATAAGAAAATTGACAGGATGAGCTTCTGACAAATATTTTGGGTAAGAAATGCCTAGAACAGGCAACAGTTTGGAAGTAAAGATAAAGAAATGCGGAATCATCCCAATGTTAAATATACATTAAATTGTACTCTAACCATTTGGAAAGCTTAACTTTCTTCATGTACTCCAACAGTATAATATATATATATAATTATTATTATTTCAAAATTAAAGCTAAACAAAGCAATAATTTGAAACTACTTGCTACCTTTTTAACATTACTCAATTTACCCAATATTTCTGGTGCAGAATAACATACATTTCATGCACTGAAACACCATGTTGCATAGGAACAGAAGAAATAACAATACCAATAGGAGCAGCTTCTTTTAGAGCATGTTGCCATGGCACTAATATATCAATGCATTCATCAATAAAAGCTCTGAACTGCAGAGAAAAACTAAGTTAGCCTAATCATGTAATTTTTAACTTTATAGGTTAGGTGATAATTCAGTGTTTAATAGTGCATTGCCCGTGCAGTGCTTCCTTATCAGCAAGGTAAGGAATGAACTTTTCAGCATCCTTTTCACACATAGGATGATGCACATTAAAGAAAGCTGTTGGATAATAGATTGGGAATCTAGTTGGGTTTATGATCTCTTGGCTGTTCTGCCTTATAATTTAATTTAGTTTAATTTTCCTTTATCAAAAGACATTCAAGTTTTCCTGAAGTACCCCACTCTTGGCCTTTTTGAAAGAACAAACAGACCACACACAGACACCCTGGTTAAAGATTCGATTCACTGTCTCTCAAATGAACCTGCCTAAATAACCAAAACATGTTAAGAGCATTGCATCAACATTACAGAATGGTAAAAGCAACTCTTCTTCAAGAGCTTTCATGGCAGCACCAAATTATTAATTTGGATTGACTGAATTGACCCTTTGTATTTCTTGGAAGCTTCTGAGGCAAATATAGCTTGATAACATTTAAGTTTGGGGGAAAGGGTCAACAAATTATAAGAACTCTCATTATTTTTTTCATGCAGATATTAAAAAAACCAAAACACAAGAAATGTAGTTGTCATGTTTCCATACCTGAGGAATTGAAGCAGTAAACATGAAATGTTTGAAGGAGGTCAGCATTCCATCGCACTAGTCCAGTTTTGCCCTTACCACATTTGTTGTTGGGTGTTGTCCGAGGAATAACAACAAATCCATCTTTCACCCATCCAAAGCTACAATAAAAAGCATCGGTCCTTTTAGTACCAGATTTATCACCAGCCTTGTAGAGGTGTTAAGGCAATGAGCCACTAACTGATATACCTGCATGTTTGAAAGTCATGTTTCAAAGCATTTTCAACTTGGTCTTTACTTGCCAATTGTAGATTCAGTTGATTACATGCATTACTTGCTTCTGAGAAATTCACTTTCTTTTCGAGATAGAGTCCTACACCTGTGATCCTGCAAGGTGACTGAATGGAACCTGCAATTAAGCCATAAAATATTCAAGGTTAGCATTTGAATATTAACGTTTATTCCTCATGAAGAATTTAGGATCACGTTTAACTGAATTGAAATTTTTTAAAGTTTCTAGCTTGAGGATAGTAGAAAACTAATTTCTAGTGTAAAAGATATTTTAAAACAGAACATATTTTTTTAACAATAGTCTAGAATTTCAAGAGGTTTGGCTGTTATTAGACTGAGTGCATATACAGTCTTATTTCCTTGTTTTTCTAACAAATTAAAACCAGCAGTTGCACTGAGGCACTGATTATTCTATCATTACACCCCTCTTATCAAGATGATAAGGTATATAATATCAAAAGTATTATGCATAATTTTTCATAGAGTTAATATACCAATGAGAAAATATAAAGATTTTGTCATTCCTGGTGTTCCTTATTCCTCCTAAACTCTTTTTTTTTTTTTCCTATCTTGGCATGATGCTTCTAACCCCCAGCCACTGTCAAGCATTCAGTTTACTGAACTTGGCAGGAAAAGAGGAGATAGGGTGGATTTATGACACTTTTCCAGGCAGTTCATCCAGCTTTTTAGATAAGCACAGCTGGTCCACTCTTTGTGACACCTGCACCAGCAAGTGCATAGCTTAGGTTACACCTCCTCTGCTTTCTTAGCCTCTGTTAGGGGCATAGGATAAAATTCAGGAAGTGGCACAAACAAGGAGAAAGGATATTACTGTTTTGCCTCCATGTCTCACTGGAAGCATATACTGGGGGAAAAAAGATTTTTTATTTTTGAGTTACATACAGTAATTGCCCTGATAAATGAAACATTTCAGCATTTCATTGCCAGCACATCAGATAACCAACAGCCCCAGGTGTTACTTCCTTGCTCAATATGCTTGGCAGACTATCCTCACCAAGTATGTACAATAATGAATACTTCATAAAATCTATGTTTCAGAACATAGGCAACCCACAAACTCTCCAAAGCAGGCTGAAGTGATGCCTGCAAATCCACCACATGACTTCTTAGCAATACAACTTAAATTGAATTTTATGAATGAAAAGATAGAACTAGCAGCCAAGCCACCCTCATGATGAGAAGGTGATTAAGCTTGTGTGGAGTGCTAAAAGAAAGACAGGCTCTTAGCTCCTGCTCCCACTGGATGTGGTGGGTTTGGAAACGGCTTGTGGAAAAAAAGATGCATCTCTGCTGTCCTTACATTTTGTTTAATTGGACTTCAGTGTTTGGTGGAACAATCATTGAATCAGGTGGATTTATCTCAGCTGCTGAGGCCCATCCACAGCTCCTCTTTCTCAGTTTTTAATACCCTGCTCCTCCTCCTCTTATGACTAGTTCCTTTCTTTCTTTACTTCTTTATGCTCTGACTTTACTCTTACTCTTATTGCTCACTTAGTCAATTATTTTTCTATCTTTAGATTTGAGCAACACAACTTTTAAAGAAGGTGATGTTGAGAATGAAAGTTTCTCAATGATCAACTTTACAAATTTCAAATAAAGCTGAGCAGCTGACAGAAAGGAATTTAATGAAATCTTGGAAAATTATGTAGGTACTTGTAAACTGCTACAGTCTTTAGTCATTCAATTACAGGACAAATATTTTACACATGAATTGTATGATGGATACAAAGCATAATATATAAATTCAGTACTAGAAAAAGAAGTTGTAAGTGATAATAAAGGTGACTCTAGGATATGTGCTGAAGTTGTACGTTAAAATTTGCTAAGTTTTTTAAAACAAAATGGTGAAGTAAAAGATATGTTTCATAAAAGTTATCAGATTCCATCTAAATTCTGGATGGTTCTGCAGTGTAAGGAAGAAACCCAGAAAGAGAACAATAGCCTCTTCAAGTCTTTCCATCACTTCTTAAATCACCTCTGAGCTCTGTTGTAAAGATGACTGAGTTTCTACAGGAGACAGACTAACTCCTTGGAAGCACATTATCCTTTTCTGTCCACAAGCTACACACAGCTGTGCTTCGAGCTTTGCTGTGCTTACTTGACCTACTAATACTGGGACATTCTCCTCAGTATTTGGGTCTCGGGTGAAAAATCTGTTTTACTGACATAGGTGGGAAGACCTAGACAAAAGAATCTCACAGCAAGACAAAGCTGTCATAGAACAGGAAGAAAATTGTTCAATTTTTGTAAGCTAGGGGTATTGACTTTGTTGAATTTTAGTTTCCTTCTAGCTTTTTTTTGGGGGGGGGGAAGCTGTTGTTTTTCTCTTTGCCCTGTGCCTAGCCTTCACTCTGATTTATTAGGAAGAGTTTCCTTTGGCTGCCGATGCCAGGGAGCAGCAGGAATGAGGCTGTTCCACAAGGAAAGAGGAGCCGGGAGCAGAGGGCAGCACAGGCAGGGCAGTGCCCTCACTGACCAGGGCACAGTCCCACAGCACTGAACAGGACCACAGTGACAGTGGCAGGTTTCACTTCCAGCCCCAGAGAGAGCAGGATAATGAGTCAGACACCCAGAAAGTCCGTTTGGGAACAGCAGAAGATGGTGCTACCTATAACACGTGCCTGAAGTCCATTCTGGAGACAAGGCTACCCACAGCCTAAATGCAGAGTTGATCTGTGAAGCCCAGGCAGCAAGTCACTACAGGAGGGACATCACCTGCTACAACACAGCTGGAAAACACAGCTGGAGATCAGCCCTGAGCTTAACTGCAGCTCTCGGGCCAGTGAGCAGAGGGTGCACGAGGAGGTACCCCAAGGGAGGGTGCTCTCCTGGAGTGGAGCTGGGGGGCACCCAAACAGCTGCAAAGAACAACACTCAAGCTCTCCATTCCCCCAGTGAAAATTATACAGTTTTGCTGCAGGAGACTAGAAGTTGTTAGCTACTCCAATCCTGTGGAATTTCAATTGGATTTGATGTGAGCATCTAATTCACTCAGTCCAGATTTCCTTCAGAAGTCTTTCAGTAGTAGGTGACAAAATCAATTGTCTGCCATAACTGTGTATGTTCTTTTACATAAGTAGAACAAGCATTTACTCCTTGCAAATTACAGTGAAGCATCTGGAGACTTCTGATGCACATTGAGTATCTGCAGATATCCAGAAGCTACTGCAGTTAGAATACATTGCATCAAGTTGATGATGGAATTTGAAAGAGAACTTGTTTCATGCATATTTTGCTCTCTGAGGTTATACAAAACTGTTTCTCTAGTATTTTAAATAGTACAAAATAAAATTACATTTCAATAAATCTGAACTGAATCCTAAATGCAATACCAAATTTTTAAAATATGCAGTTCTGTAGCATTTAGATAAAAATGCTTCAGCATTTAGATAGCAATAAAATAAGACTAAAATTTAAATCATTATATGCTAGTTTTCATTGCATTGTAGTCTCAAAATTCTGTGATTTCCTATGCCAGAAACACATTAGTACACACACCCTTCCCCCCATTTTTGTAAATCTAGCTACTTTTTTCAACACTTTAAAAGGTGGAACTTTACATACCTGTTACAAAGTAATTTTGAGCCATGAATGTCATCACCCAGATGAAAAACACTGCTGAGGTAACTCCAAAATTAGTTGCCATTGTCACCAACTTGAAAAATTCAGGAAATTAGAGAATTCAAGGTGGTTTGTCTTCTGTGCTAAGAAAATTAAGGTATTGAATACTGCCAGACCTCTGTTGAGATGACTTCTGGAAAGCAACTTCAGCTGTCACTGCTGTGCTTCATAGAAAGAATGTCAGAGCAAAAGCATTGACTGTCCCACTCAAAGGCGAGGTCACTCACCGGAAATCCCCAGTCACCCTCTACACTCCCTTTCATGTGGGGATTGCTGGAAAATTTAACTACTGCTGATTCAGAAAACAGGGCTGAGGAAGGGAGATAAGACTGGTAGGCTGCTAAGTCAGTAAACACTTTGAAAGAAGTTTTTCTTTTGCTATTTTTTCCTTTTTTTACTGGTTATCAGCTCATTATTCATGTTATCTATTCATCTGGTAAATAAATCAAGTCCTCCTATTGTATCACAGCATGCCACGATGGATTTTTCTTTTGTTTATTGGAATTAGAAGGACATCCACTATCCCATATGTCTTGATGGAGTAGTTTTACTGGTTTTTTTCCCTTAGAGGTCCAATGCACAAAGAGTTACCATAACACAGAGGTAACTGAAACCCAGTTTTGAACAGATTTGGAGATCCACTACAGTAAATGAGATTCCATGTGAGACTGTAGGTATGGAGGTGGGAGCCAGTCCCACCAATGCTGCCTTCTGTGAAGTTCCAACAAACAGTGATTTCCACAGATGGGTTCAAAACAGAGATGATCCTCACAGCTGTAACTTAGAAAACCTTCAGGGAGTCTTAGCAGAGAAATTATTTTTTTTGATTCAGAGATTCTTTTAAGCACAGGGCAGGGTTCCAGAGATGAACTAGTTCCTTTGCTGTCAGTCATATCAGCTGTATCTCTGTTATTCCTGACAGATGTTTGTTGAACCTGTTCTCAAAGACTTCCAGTGACAGGTTCCTAACATTTCCTCAAACACTCTATTTCAGTGCTTCGCTGTCCTTTACTGTTCACAGGTATTCCCTACTCTAAACTGACTTAGTAATGTAAACCTATCACTTCTTTTCCTGCTGGCAATGAACATGGAAAATAGTTTATTCCCTTATCTTTTGCAACTATCTTATGTATTTAAAGAGTTATGCCTCTGCTCCCACTTTTCTTTCAGCTAAGAAACCCCTGCTGGCTCGCTCTTTTGTCTCCATGTGAGGCCTTGCCAATGCCAAGCACTGATTAATAAATTGCTTTACCTGCTTACAGAGTTCAGAATGGTGTGAGCCATTTCTCTCTTTTTTTTTTTTTGCAACAGGATGGTTTTGTTACATCATGTTCAATTTGTGATTCAGGAAGCTTTTCGATGCCCTATGTCCTTGGGCTGTTTTCAAAGTCCTGTAAACACAAATGTAACAGTAGCTACCTCTTTAAGCTGTGGTTTGTATTGTAGAAAGTTCCCACTTAATATATTAAGGCAATATTAGCTTTTAACTGGGCACATGCCCAATCTCCTAGGGCAGCATATAACATGATTATGATATGATTTGGTATTCTGTAACACAGACAGGCACCTGCAGGGCCTAAGGAGAATGGGAGAATGCTGTGGGTTAGTGAAATAATGTCTCCATCAGCAATAACGAAATGAAAATTGGGTTGTGCTTGGGCTGTGGTTTGGAACTGAATGTTAGTAAAGCTCCTTGAGATCTTCAGACAAATTTCTTGCTCCAGTTTCTCTTCCCTCCTTTATTGTTCTGTACTAACCTGCCTCTACAAAGTGATGGCAATGTGAGATACTGTAATCAGACTTAATCCTCACTCGAAGCAGGTTGTAAGTGGATTCACTTGCATTTACAATGTGGGAGGAGAAAAGTAGACTGTGGCTGTAAAACACTGAGAACATTAAACAAAATCTTACCATCTCCGTGCTTAACTTGAACTGCAAAGTACTTCCTACCATGAAAACTAATCAAGAGCTGGGCTTCTGACATTTTAAAATTGTGTGCTAATTGTCCTGCCGAGTTTTAACACTTTGTGCCTACTATACTCACTGTGGCAAAGTTCCTTTAGTCAAACTCAGTCTGTGCTCTTGATCTTTAGTAGGACTTTTAGTTGAAAAAATGAGATAAACACCTTTGCAAAACCAAACAAAAATATAAGCTGCTTCACACGGTCTTCTAAGAGCAAAACACAGATTAGAGGAGGGAGAAAAGAATTTTAGAGTGATGAAATGAGACAGAAATAACTATTTTTTTGTCGTTTTCTTCCTTTTTGTATTTCAGCTGTTCTAAAACTGTGTGGAAGACCACTTATCTGGACTGTAACAGTACAAAAGGTCTTTAACCTTTTTCTGTGTCTTCATCATAATTAGTGCGGTGAAAAAAAGCGCAGACTTATACAGAATGATTAATTAGAGTTTGACCTAAATACTTGTAGTAACTTATAAGAAAAATTCCCAGCCTCTCATGCCAGCATGTTTTAAAATGCTGATGAGGGTTGCTAAACAGAAAACTTTTCATATGGGAGGACAGAAGTAACTGTTCTCTACAATCATTTCTAAAGGACCCTTGAAACCTGAACAGCAGGAGAGGAAACACGTTTATGCAGAAAATACAAATGTCGGGGTCTTTCCATGGTTACAGCAATTCCTTTCAAGGTTGTCACTGTCCCAGAGTTTTTCTCCCTGTCACTGACTATCAGAGAGCACTGTCTCCTACCCACTGGACAGCTCTCCACAAAGCCCAGGCTTCCCCAACCTCTCAAGTCTACGAGGACACAAAGCAAATAAAGAATCCTAACCTTTCGCTCAGAATCCTTTGCTTACAGATTTCCCCTGTGGCTCTCCACGTTTGGCCTCCTCAGTGACACGTGGCCTCCCTCTGAAGCAGGTGCTAAACTCTCTCCAGGATATCTCAGCTTCCTCTCTCCTCTGGTTGCTATGGTGTGACAGGCACGACCCTGCTCCCAAACATTCTCTCTATTGACACAGGAGTTTGCTTGCTTCTTCTACATAATTTTCCTCAAGAACTGGAAAACTAAGAACAAGATCCTTGATAGATGTAACACGCTTCATGAGAACACAGCCATCAATGTGCAGACAGAGCACAGGCAAACCCCAAATCCTTAAGGTAACAACATTGAGGACTTGAAACCATACTTTTATTTCAAAACTCAAGTATGTGATACTATACAGTACAATACCAGCACACTTGTGCAAAATCTTACAATATTACAAATTTAAATATGATACACAAAAATAGTGCCCTTTTGAAATTCCTTTTACTAGAAACATTTGTGCTGTGCAGGAAAAACAATAAATGTGTCTCGTTAAAGCAGAAAAATAAATATTGCACCTCAAGAAAACTATTTCAGTGTTAATAGCATAAATAATAGCTCTGTTTCTTGTTATCTGATGTGATCTTTGAACACAGAAGAGGTTGTTGGTTTTTTTTTCCCAGATAAAGCAAACTAACATCCAACAAATAAAATGACATTTAGAATAGTTTTTGAGCTTAATCTAGATTCTTATTAAAAAAGGTGTTTTCATTAACTAACTGAAAAATATAAGCAAAACTATTTACTGTGCTGTTAGTCATTGTGGTTTGTTATTTTTAGTGGACAGTTTGCTCAAAGTACTTATAAAAAGAAGAATTTTTTTAAAAATAAACTTTATCTTCATTTTTGCACCCTCATTAAAATCTCTTGCCTCCTTCAGTAGATTCCCCAAAGCAAGCAAAAACTTTGTGGCAAAATTACACTTGCCTTAGACATGCAAGTAGTTCAGTTCAAATCAGTACAACTACTCATGGGAATTGGCCCTGGTGCACTAATTCCACAAAAAGGCAGTGTGCTGAATTTCAAGGGAGCATGGAGACTTTGTTCACCCACTGACCAAAAAAGCTTTAGAACATGCTTAACATTAAGCAGTTTGAGAGTCCTGTTGATATCAATAAGTTTCTATGTGTACTTAAAATAAGCTGGTGGGCCCACATCAGTGCAGATGCAAATAAAAGTGAATTAATTCGATTATAGGCACTGATAATTATTTTTCTTCAATGCAGCCCACCATGTCCACAATCACATAATCAAATATGCTCCATAATTTCTGGCATAGAGAATTCTGAATGTTCAGAACTATTTACCTTCAATTTTTAATGCCTTATTAAGCATGTTATTTGTAAAGAATATTAAGTTAAAGAAGCTGAATAAAGAAGTATTCAAAGAACAACTGACAAGTTTCTTCAAATACTGAAAGTATGTGAAATATCACAGTAGTTCTTCACAGTCAGATATTCTAACTGAACCAAACAGATTCCAAGTAATTTGCAAGAAACCTTCTTCTGTCTTATTCTTTACCAATTACAATTTTAGACCAAATGACACTTTCCCATTATCCTTTTTGAACTTCCTTAGGCACATTATTCCTCAATAATACAGACTTTAAAATACAAAACCTCCCTTCTAACTGCTTATAGACTCCTCATTCCCCACCACCCCTAAAAAAAAAGTGGTTATGGTCTGCTTTTTTAAATTTTTAATTTCTTTCTCTTTTCTATAAATGTCTCCTAAGAAACACGTGGCTAAAGATGCAACAAACAAAAATTCACTAGCAGGATATTCGTTACTAGTGCCAGACATGTGAATTAAATTGCTGACTGAGTTAGGAACCTGTTTTCTTTGATAATTAGCTTGAGGTTCAGTGTTTACACCAAAAGAAAACAGGACAGTATTATCTGTGTCTGAACTGAAATTACAGTACTTCATAACACACTTATCCTTCAGTTGGTGAACAGACCTGCTTCTCAGCCAGGAAATGCCAGAAGAATGCAAGATATGAGTGCAATCAAGTGTCACACTGATTTTGATATTGTGGCTATAGCTGAGGAAAGACACAATTCACCTTCAGTCAGAAGTGACTTTCAGCAGGTACATAAGGTACACCCTCAGTGACACACATTTTGGTCTCAGCCCTAGGTGGTGGGGTTTTTACAGATAATGGCTTCACCATTTTGGAATTGCTTATCCAAGAATTTCAGACTTTCACATTCTTGTGTAAGAACTCGCAACTCCCAGATAGGCAGAACTGCAAGAGATGAATCTCTCATGACCTGGCAGTTCAGCTTTGGAAGTGTATCAGATCATTTGGAAACCTGGCATCAGGTTCTGAAAATGAACTACTAAAAACACACAGTGAGCTTTCTTAAGTCCTCACTGCTTCCCTGTCCTGATTCACGTAGGCACTGGTTGGGTTCTGGCTGTTGCAGAACTGTGTTCCTGCTGCAGACCTCAAAGAATATCTATCTCCAGTATTAGTAGTAGGGCAGAGTCCACTAAGTGTGATCACCTGTACATAGATGTTTGAAGAGTTTTTGTTTTCTTTGTTTCTTTTTTAATAAAGAATTCCCATGTCCAAGAGTGCTGTATTTTGGGCTTGGGCAGCTCATCTAACCTTCCAAACAGCAACTACTTTTTGCTGTAACCAGCCCTGACTCTGAGTGTCATACAGAAATTTCTGCAAAGATGTCCCTTAGATATATCAGAAGTTCCCAGATTTATTTGATGATGTCACATGGACCCCATTTTAGGTTGAGTATTCCATTTTTAAAAAAGCAGTGGTGGTCCAATTCTTAAAGTATATCATAAAACACATTTAAGCATGTACTTAACATTCCATTTAAATAATCATACAGATAATTCCTCTTAAAATTACTCTATCAGCAAGGCATTTGGTCTAATAATATAATTAGATTCTTCCATAGAAGAACTTCTATTTCTACCCAATAATCATGAATAAGGAAATTAATTAGACTCTTAAACCCCAAAGGACTTAAATGCAATTAGTACTTCAACAATCAACAATAAATTCAGGAAATGCCAAGTAAAGCACTAACTGCAAATGCAGGTTTTATGATTTTCTTCAAAACATCAGTGTCCTGTGCAAATCATTCTTTTCAACATTTTGCTGGTTGCTCATTACTGCCACAACCTTATCACGATTCCACAATACTTTATTTGTATCAGTCAGTTACAACAAGAGGGCTGACAGGATTATTCATCAGATTTTCATCTGGGCAAGATGTGTTCACCCTGCATCCCCAGGCCTGGGGGTGTGGAGCAACTCACTTGTCTGACAGCTCACGTGTGACAGCCGTAGGGGTGACTAAGCACTACCTTTAACAACAGTGGTCTAATATGCAAACTTGCTCAGGTACCAGAAATCCCTGGTTGCTCCTTTATTATTCAGTGCGTTGCTCCTGTCGAAATCCTGAGTTCCACCAGGAATACTGGTGGGCAGCAGAGCAGCTGGCCTTCCCTTCAGCTCCCTCTGACTTCTCATCGCAGGAGTTGTAGGAATGGTAGATTCCCAACACCACAGCAAAAATGATGATTGCAGCCACTACAAGCCATACCACGTTCCAGTGTTTGCACAGTTTGGGGTACAGTATATATAAATAATTAATGATGACTTCAAGTCTGCTGTAAAATTAAAAGAAAACTGTTATATATGCAAATTTATTATCTTAAGCTTTGCAGTTTGAGAGGTTTCATAGATATATGGTGCACCATCTTTTTTTCCCAATAGAAACACCTTGTCAAAGAAGAAACAGACTGCGAAATTCTTCTAAGGAGAGCTGTACACTCAGACATTCCAACTCAAACTATACTATTGATTCAAAGAAACCTTTGAACAGTCTGAAAAGCACTTTTATTACGGCCGGGGAATGCAAAGGGGCAGGTGTTTTTCCCCAATACCATAGCTTTTTATACAGTTTGAAAGTAGCAAGTTTGAAATTATCTATACACACACTCTTTTTGGAGTCTGCCTTATTTAAATAGACACTTAGTTTTACCTCCTATTCTTACCATTATAGAGTAGTTACATAAAGTTTTATCATTTCAAACAGTTTCAGGTTCCCCACCCCTTTCTATGTGCTAAAAAGCCTTCCCTATTCTCTATTTTATCTTAATTGCACACAGTTTGGGCAGAAACTTTTAAGCAGTTTTACATTTTGCAAAGTCACACTTACATAGCTAAATAGCTAAATTTTATTTCATTTTCTATTTCACTATGATATGATTTGAGTAATATTTGCAAGACTGTAAACTTCACTTCTATTTCTCCCACCTGTCTCAGAGCTTGATATGATGCAAAATCCTGCACTGTTCATACCTTGATCAACTAAATTAAACATTAGAACATGTCATAAACATTTCTTTCTGAGAGTGAGATGACTTTCATGACTAGTCTTTCATGACTAGCGAGATGGTTGCCCTCTGAACATGGCTGAAGCCTCAAATCTACAGATGTTTATAACCACAATGCTTATGGAGTGGAAATGAATTCTTCCAGATCAAGTAAGGTTCCCTGCCTTAGCTTGGGATTGGACACAAGCCCAACATAGCTGAGAAGCTTGTTTTACTCTGCATTCAGCTTGTAGGTGACCCTTTGGAATGACATACAGCACAAATTTGGGCATCAGATTCCTGAATTACAACCTCCATGAGACAATGCATGTCTACAGAGAGATACCTTCTGGTATCTAAAGAACTTTTCTGGAATGTTTTTTTACCTTGAATCAGAACCAAACCCCATTAAGATGAAGCATCTTGATGTCAACATACAATTTTAGCTGAAACAGTAAAATAAAAACTTGCATTTTGTAACTCCATTGTCTTGGAACATGCCTTTCTGTGAAAATACTGTTATTTGAAATATGCTTCTCTAGACTGCAGAAAAACATGTCAAGGTGATAGTATAAAACACTTGGTTGGGTACCACAAATAGAACAGAGTGGCCCCTCTTTTATGGACATATTACCCCACTGTCTCACCTGCTTTTCAGGTTTTTAATCTCATCTTCATTTTCACTTTCTTCATGTTCATCATGACTTTCTTTGGGTGTCTCTTCATCTTCTTCCTTCAGTTCTTGAAGTTCTTTGGTTTTCTTCAAGCCTTCCTGATAGCTTTAACACATAAAACATTTATTTCTTAGTCTAGCATGCTCTATAAGCCTGATTTTATTTAATGAAAAATTAACTTTATGCTTTGAAACATGCAATAAAACAGAAGTAGCAGTGTTGCAGCACTTAGACAAGAGTAAAAATTAGCTGAAGACTGTGAGTACAGTACACAGATAGCCTTAATAGAGGATTATATAAGGGCTGATACAAAATTTATGATCTTGAATGAGAAAAAGAGGTTATAGTCCTCAACAGAGAAAAACTTTTTTCTATTGTAAAGGAGTTGGTAAATATTTCTCTATTATTTTTCAATAATTTTGAACACCCTCCAGGTATTTCTTTTCTCCTGGAGAATGAATCAATGCTGAAGATAGATGGCATGCTGGATTCTGCAGGAGGGGATCAAAATTTTTATCTCACTCTAAATCCTGGCATTCAGAAACAGATCCCAAACTTTTTAATTGCCCCAAAACATGCTGTGTAAAGCACTTTGTGACACAAACAACACAACTTGCAATGGTTGATTCTTACTCTTCACTCGTTTCCGTGTAGCCTTTTCAGAATAAATATTTCATAAGGCTGTTTTTGGATTATCTTGTCATGAAGCTGAGCACTACTGACATAAGAACACCCACCCAACTCAGAATCTCTGATATAACTGCTCTCCCACAGTTTGCCTTTCATTAATAAAGGCTGAAAATCAACAGGTACCATGCAAATACAATGACTGAAGCTCACCCATGTTGTTTCCCACATTGTTAAAATTATTACTGTCTTCTAGGACCACCTTTCAGTTATGTCACTCATTTAAAATTGCATTTAAAAATAAATTTTAAAAACATATACAGTAATCTGGTAGCACATATTTACAGACTCAGTTCACATAAAATATTCACACCCTTTGTTATATGCTTCCTCTTCTATCTTGGCTTTAGTTTCAGGGCTGATCTCCTCCAACCCGCTCTGTGACAGCACAGAAGTAGAGGTTTCACAGTCAGGCTCTCCATTAGACTTTCCACTGCCAAGACAAAAGAAAAGACAAATAGGAAATAATGCCACTGAAATGTGTTGTATTTGGAGCACACTACAGTTTTGTGACTCGTGATTTGTCTTTTTTAATGTACAACAGAGAAATGAAATGTCTTTCAAAAGAAAAACTAAACATCAAGAAAAATATTAGTTTCAAAATGTTGTAATTTAAGAACAGTAATTACTATGTTTCTAAGGTAATATGACTTGCACTTTGCTTCTTGTTTAAAAAAAAAGCAAAAAACCCCTACATTTGTTTCCTGGCTCATCCATGGGATTTATTTGCTATTCTTGAAAACATTTCCATCAATTTTCTAAAAATCATCTTAGATATTGTAACCAGCTAAATAAGGGGAAAATAATAGAAATAATATCAAATACCAATTTAACAAAACATTGGTTTTATTTATTTTAGCTACTCCCCTCTGCTGACTTTGTATGCTGAACTGATGCACAGGTGAAAAAAGAACACAAACACATACATTTCTTTAGTCACTAAAACTTTTCTTAAGCAAAAGCTTTGAGCATTTAGCCTAAAGTTAAGCCATTTTATATTGCTCTCTTCCTGCAGTGTCCTCCTATCTTTGTTTATTTGATCTGGGACAAGGAGTTTAAGTGATTGAGACATAACAGCAAATCTATCAAAGTCCAGGTTTAATAAACTCAACAGTGGAACCCATTTCAACTTCTAGAATCCAACCTTTTTTGTAGGCCTTATTTTTTGGGCACTAAAATTGACACCATCTGTGGGTGATGGATTTTCTCTTAAGAAAGAAGTCATATTAACAGGAGACATTATTTTCACTTGGACTTTAAACAAATAATGATTATAAGCTCAGTTTAGTTCTGAGATGCTGCTTGTAAACTTGACATGAAAAGGAAAATATGATGGTGACATGGTAAAATACAGTTACCAGATCATGAAGCTGACGTTGTGTCACTGATTTCGATACCTCATGTCTTGGTTTAGGAACGACAGAAATGATCCAATTATCATTTCATACTAGGATTTAATAGGTAAGGAGATGACCTAGACAACTCACTTTTCTAGAAGTGCTGGCAGAGCAGGACTAGATGCTAGGCTGCTCCTTCCATTACTAGGTGATTCAGACTGTAAATAAAACACAGCAACAAATGTTATATCCATTAATAAATTTCAAATGAGTGTTCAATAAAATGACAAATCAATGTGCTGCTTAGGTTTTCTTCCCACACTGACGAGCAAAGTATCTTTAATATGGAGCTTCCAAATTTACCACAGTAAACGAGGGACTTGCACACTAAGAATTTTCTCCAAAATACATTGATCACTGAATAGTATAATTACTTTATTTTATCTCTCCTATTATCTATGAAAATTAATAGCTGAGTTTTCTAATGGAAATTTTAAACAAAACCAAATCATAATAAACCATGGCAAACAAACACACTTAGTTCCTGAAACAATTAACTCTGAGGACATAATAACTAAATTGCACAAACAGATGCTTTTCTTAAAACTAAAATGGATTTAGCTTCTCAGCAAACCCCCTCATTTAAATAAACCTGCATTTTTAACATTTTTAACTGCATAACTTTCAGGTTATGTCCCATCATAGCTCATCTCTGAACAGTTAGTATGCCTTGCAGTTTTCCTCTAAAGCATTTATATGGATTCATTATGTTCAAATTAGATTATCATTTGATTTATTAAAGTTTTATAAATAAACAGCCAACACAGAGGCTGATGACTTCACTAATCCCAAATCATCACAGAACTTCTAAATTTGTACCACACACATTTCTGTACATTGATTACACGTGTTTCTGTTTAGTGTTCTGTGGTTTCCAGTTAAAGTTCCTCTCCTACTTTGGACACCTATTTTCACAACTTCTTTCCTGTATGTTACTACAGATGAAAAGGTAAATTGCCTCACTAATGTGCAATGCCTCTGAATCACCAGCCCTCCCTATTCAGCAGTTTCTAAAATGATCATTTAAGGAGGTAGATTCTGAAGGCACATGTCCCTTCCAAATAGAAACTGCCTCTGTCCACTCCCTTCTCTAGGATGGAGTCAAAACAAATTAAACCAATGAAAGGGCTTCAATTTTTTAGCAACTGTGGCTTGGCTGTATGTAAAAGTAATTTAGCCAAAAAATAGTACCTTTAAAATACGGGGTTTACTTACCAGGGATGGCATTGAAGGTATAGGTGAAGCTGTTGGTGACTGACCAGGAATGTTCAAGGAGTTAAACTTAGGAACAACTGCAACACTGACTCTCCTCCGAGGCATATTCTGTGAGGAACAACAATTTATGGTTTTTCTATCACACAGCAAGACAGACTGAAGAACAATTCTGTAGGTTAACAGGTGTGGAAAAGGTGTAGGTTAATGTCTCTTGGGGAAAAGGAGAGTTGGGAACAAAATTAAGATGAATGGATGCTAGGTTGTGGTTTTCCCCAGAAATTCCTCAAGTATGATTTGCTGTGGCAGGTGCTTAGTGTGAAATGAGTGTGGTACAGGGATGCTGCTCTTTTCCCTCCATACTGAAAGCCCAGTAGAGTAAGTCACACAACAGATGTGGTCTGAGCTGATATTGTCAGCTCTTATTATACACCATTATCTTTGAATAAATCAGATGTATAACGATACTGGGGAAGGTGCTGGTGTCACAATGACTGCAAAATAATGAAGGTGGACATGAAACTCTTATCTTACCATGTACCCATTCTGATATCCTGTACCCACTATGATATATTGATTACATCTAAGCCTACTAATCATAACTTACAGAACCAACAACACCCACTCCTTCCACAGGAATGTCCTGTGAACATCCCCTTCTCCCCCACCCTCGAGTTGTTAGATACCACCATGTGACATTGCTTTACATTTCCCAAGGATCATGAGCATTCTTTATATGACAAACACCTGCAAGCTGTACACAACATATTCAAGCTTAAGTACAGATCACTTAAGTTTTTGCTCTCATTTGGTAAGTAGCTAAATGCTTCCACCTATAAAATCTATGTAAAATCTGGCCTTCCAACTGAGTAAAAACATCCAAACACTTACAGCATCTAACAGCTTTGTTTCACTGCAAATCCAAACACTTCTGGTCTAGACAACTTTACAGGAAAGGAGTTAAACACAGATTTAGTAAATACATAGGAGGAGTCACTTACTCCACTATCCTGGTTCTAGACTAAACCAACTGTACCTATTCATTAATGACAGTTTTATTTAATTTACTGCCACAAAACTACACAGGGGAGTCTTCAGCCATCTTAGACAGACCATTTTAGTGTTTTGGGGTTTTCTCCCCCCTCTTTATTACTTGGGCTTGTCCTTCTTAAATTTAATCTTTTTTTGGGACTTCTGTTTCAACTTATCTGGTTCTCATTCTGAAATCCAGTGTTGCCCTTAGCAGGCTCTGTGCTCTAATTCTTTATATCCAACACTCAGAGGTGGCAGGAATAAATTAAATCTAAGGAACTACAACCTAAACAAATAAAAATATGAAAATAAACAGTAGACTGAGTATAATGCCTCTGACCACCAAATTTCCTAATGGCCTCACTGGGACTCATATCACTGGTTATTTTAGCAAGTTTTGTAATAAACTTTATCTCCAACACTTGGAATTTTTTCAGAAATGAAACACTGGACATGTTGAAGCTACTAATGGGTCAAGCAAAAACAATCTGAGATGGCCTCTCAGTCTGAATACTTTGTCAAATCAAACAAGATACTTTGATGCTAACTGAAAAATGATCCCCACTTACAAAATAACTGCTCCCACCTAAGGTGCTCTGACCATGATAGAATTCTTAAGATAATGAAAATGTTGTGGTCATGGAATCCTGAACCATATGGTAAGTTTTGATCCCATGTTCACTTTCCTCACTGAGGAACCAGGACAAAGCACAGGACCTAAGCCATTCTCTGGAGCACAGGTACACAAAGACATTTCACTACCCTAAATGCTCACTTTTTTTAATATTGTAGAATTACCTTTCCAACAGTAAGAGACATGGATCTAGATGAACGAGGCACTCCATCTTCTATATAGAAAAAAGATAAAAGACAGCCTTAGACTATATGAGTATCTATAAATACTAATAGAGCCTTTGTTTGTATTTCAAACTCAGACACAGTATATTTATACAAGGTCTGTAGTGACCACATATTTATCTGTCATGCAGTTCTGATCTCAGCTTCACCTGCAGAAGAAATTCGAAATAATTGCAAAAATCAAACCATTAGTATCTTTACTGAGATCAGGCAAAAGGCCACTGTCTACTTCCACATACAGATAGATACTTGCAAAATAAAATACTTATATTGCAGTTTCCAGCACAGAAAAGACAAGGTTGCAAAAAAAAAAAGTTTTAAATAATGAAATTTTGCCATTATCCATCACCTTTGCATTAAAATTGCACAGGCTATGTGCATGTGAAAGAGGCCAATGAAAATGTCATTGAATCTCATCAGAATTTGGTAAGTGAAAGTGATTTCAAATTACTGTAGTATAGCATCAAGTATGGTTCATAGGAAACACTTGAACTTATTTCTACAACTTTTTTAAATCTACATCAGAACTTCATGAATAGGCTTCATGGTGCTTCACTTTTAATCATTAAGAGCACCAATATCTCCCTGTATAGAGGCAAGACAAACCATTAAATTTTAATTTTTTTTACCAGATGCACCATAGCTTCTGCTAGAATTCTGATTGGCAAGTTTCTTGAACTCCATTAGTTCAGCATGATCCTTTTCATATGTTCTTTTCAGATTTTCCACATACTGCATCATTACTTCTGTTGCCTTTGACATGCGTTTCTCCTAAGGAAGACAAGAAAGAAATACCCAGTTAAACTCTACATGCCTCCAACAAATCATTTGCCTTTATATCTATGCTCCCTGTCAGGGCTAAATCTGAAATAGCTGTTCTTTAAGAAATATTGGTACCTCCACAACTAATTCCTAAGCTAGTTAAAGACAAATGCACATGCATTCATACATATTTCACAGAATATCATAATTTATGTTGACATGTATTTATACAACCTGCCTGTGTGCCCATCTGATTAGTTATGTGGCATGCTACATTGGTTTTCAAACCCTCAAGGGTCTTAGTCACTGGCATCAGTCTGGTTGCTTAAAAGGGAACAGTCTTGAACCTGGGTGGATATTGCTGTGTTCACATTTATACTCGCTCTGTTCTTATACTCTTCATAGTTGTCTGACTGAGCCACTGCCCAAGGCAGGTGACTGAACTGGATGAGCTTTTTGACCCAGAAAAGTTTTCTTACTAGTGCTGCACTGATTTAAGTTTCATGTGATGCAGCTGTAGTTCTGAATAATGCATTCAGAATAATGTTCCTATTGTACAGATGTTGAACAGCTTAATGGGTAACCTTTTTCTGTTTGAATCTTATTTCCAGACTGAAATGGTGTCTTATCTGACGCTGCAATAAACGTCTTTAATCTGTCAAAAGGGCAAATAAAACTCAAAGGGCGAGTGTAACCTCTAGCTATGGCTGAAAAAGAGAGAGAGGGAACAAGTGCAGGTGGGATACAGGTTGAACACCAGGATGTTCCTACCTGGCGAACGGCTCCGACCATCTCGGCGCGACTCGACAGCCTGGCAGCCAAACGCCGCAGGACAGCGATGTCCTCCAGCAGCTTCTGGTAAGCTTCCCTGTGCTCATAGTGGTGCCACAGGTGAGCTGAGGACTGGAGGGGAAATACATAAGATTTATCATCATGTCTTGCCACTTCTAGTTTTCAAATGAAGTAGCCAGAGCCACAAAAAGGGGTAAAAATGTCCAGGCAGAACCAGCCATGGACAGAATGGCCCCGAAGGAATGCCAGCACTACCACCACAGACGACCTAGAGAGTGCTGCTGCTGTTTCAGGAGTTAAAGAGGGCTCAGCACATTTGCAACACTCTCCCTCCTGAAATTTGTCATGAATCGTGCCTCACTGCCTGTGCACTTTACAGATGACAAGTTTATTTGAACTAGCACTTAAAAATCACTCCTGAAGCACAAACATTTTAATTCCCTGGGCACAGGGTGTTAAGAAGGACATGCATCTCCTTTCAGTGTCATGATACTCCACTTTTATTTGGGACAAGAGATATTATAGTCTCGAGAATTCCAGATGTAAAAGAATAATTAAAAAAATAACATAGCCTGTAAATCAAGTGGCAATTGCAATTTCTGAACCTCTTTTTGTCAGTCAATAGGCACATCTATTCACTGGATTAATACTGTCACTTTGACAGCACAGATTAACACTGGAAAGCATCAAAGCATATACATTCCTTAGGATTGGTTCCCAAAAGCAAGAATGCATTTAGATGTTTTATTAGCCAAAGCCTTAGAGAATATCTCTTCACTGAATACATTTTCTGTTCACAGAGAAATTTGTTATGAGACGACCCTATACAATTTAGTTCAATCTTACAGGCAGACTTTGTCATGCTGCATGATTTCTATATTCTAAAGGAGCATTTTTAGGATGGAATAGTTTTGGCAATGAGGTTGTTTTAAGTAATTAATCACTGTGCTGCTGTCCACATATTTTCCCTCTGTCCAGCTGCAATGTCCCCTAGTTCTCTGCAACCCCTCACTTGTATTGCTGCAAGAGTAAGTCAAGGAGTTGAAATGATGTGAGAAAAGAATAACCTTTCCTCCTCTTTTTCTCCCCTGCCTCAAAAGAAGGGAGGTAAGTATCTTTTAAGTAGAGTTGTTTCAGAAATTGCATTTATAGTGCGAACCTTTGGTGTAGAAACACAGCCAAGAGACTGATGAATCTGGCACAACAATAACAACAATTGCAGCCACAAAAATTTTTTTACACTTATTTATCATGGAAGCTACTTTGATAATAAATTGCAACCAAAATTTGACTGCAAGAACCAAGAAAGCATAAGGGAAGAATCTGTCTGAGAAAAATCATGCACAGAATTTCAGATTTTCCATTTTTTTCCTTGGTAGCTGTAAGTTGCTTATTTTCTTGAACAAATCGAAGTTCATGTAGATCAGCTTTCTCTGGAAGTTAGGTTTTTGAATAACAGACATCAGTTATCACCAGCTTGATTAAAAGAATCAGAAAGACTGGTAAAACTGTCATTGAGCCATATAACATATGCCTGCCCTACAGAAATGAAGATAACCTCTCAATGAGATTGGAAAAAGTCTGGGTCTAATATGATAGAGATTACAGAGAAATGATCACTAAATTTTATTGCTTGTTAGTTTATTCCATTGTATAGAACAAAAGCTTTCATAGGAATGGCAGTTTCCACTCGGTTATAAAATACATAAAAAAGCTTGTAAAAGCCAGACAGTAGTGTGTGAACTGCACAGAAGAAGAAAAAGCTAATCACATCTGTCCCATGCTGGCAACCTGGTCCTTGGTGCCTAATTAGGGATTCTTAAGAGAAACACAGGGCAAACCTAACAGACATTTTTTCAGTCTGAAAATCCTGAGATTTAATAGGTTGTTTTTGCTTGCTCTTTGAGAACAGAGGGAAAAGCAGCAAAACATTCAAAACATCTGGGTTTTTTTCCCCAAAACAATTAATCTGGAAATGCAGATTTGAAATTACAGATGAAAAGATGTAAGTATCTTTCTGATAGTATGCATTCTTACCTGATGACGTACTTGATAATGTAAATTGGAGAAATATATGTTTTCCTCACTATTTCTCATAAGAATGGCAACACCTCCTTGTAATGTGCAAACTGGGTCTACATCTTTCATTTAGCAGCATGACATCTAACCATCCCTTCCCTTTTCTGCACAGAAACATGTGCAGCACATAGGTTGATACATCTCAGAGATATATTTATCATTTCAGTTAGAAAATGCAGAGAAAGCTAGCAGGAAGGGCTGAAAACTGCTGCTATAAAGGAACATCAGGGACAGCTGGAATAGAAGTGTACTCAGGCCCAAAACCTGATCCTGAGGGTACATGTATTCCCTAAGTAATCCTCACTGTCTCCTTTCCTGTACCACCTTCTTGTATCTGCATCTTTCAAGTTGTAAATGTCAGGACTCAGGTTTCAGACCATTTCAGAACTGACCAGCAAATTTATAGTATTTATTGCCAGATGTAGGGCAACATCCTCTATGCCTTTCCAGCAATGCTGGCCCACTGTGGCAGAAAATGCTCTCTCTCCTGTTGGGTGGCAGGCAGCTCACGGTAAGGAGCTCAAGCAGCAGAAAATGAAGTTTTGGGGCTGAATTTACAGTCCATGTAAGAAATAATAGTCATGCATATTTCTAATGTGTGTGCACTTCCATGGACATTGCAGTTCAGGAAAAGAATTCCTGTTGTTTTCTTACCGTAATGGCTGCTTTAAAGTTTTCCAGTTCCTTCTCGGCATTCTCTTCTGTAAGATTTCTCTCTCTCTCTGCTTGGTTAATTCGAGATTCCAACGTGTAACTATCATTTCTAAAGGCCAAGGAAAGTTGTACAAATACATTCTGTTTGGATTAAAAAAAGGCATTTTTTCAATAAGTCTCACAGCAATGTAATTTCCAATAGCAGTTTATGAATAGGTATGTGTTTAACAAACTTCGGTGCTTAAATAAGTATTGAAACGGAAAACTGAAGATATTTTTGAAAATTATTTTGTTTCAAAAGTCACTTCTATTTACTTCCACTAAATTATGAGTAAATGTGCTATTGCCTCTTTTCCTGAATGTTTTTCTGGGAGCTCAGTAGAGCAGAGACACAATGAAGGAAGTAGCCTACCAGAAGCACCAGAATCACAATGGATCTGTTTTCTAGCTGGACTTCCTCCAAGGGTCCCCAAGGTTTTTAAACAGATAGTCTGTGCAGAGGAAGTCCAGAGATGAGCTCAGCATTAGCATTGTTTTACCTCAGGGATAAACACCTACCATTGAAGCCAGCAAAAGATTAAGTGCTAACGTTTTTATTCTCTTGCACCCTGCTTTTAAAGATTGTTTCTTTCTTCACCAGACACATTATTTCTTAGGATTAATACTTTGCAAAGCACAAGGCACCAACAGTTCCATGTATCTATGTAAATAAAGATCATTTTCTTGACTGGTATATCAAAAAGAAAAAGAAACAAAGCCTGCAAGCTAAAGAGCAACCTGCAAACAAAATTATTGGCTTGAACTGAGAAAGCAAAAACTATGTAAACTAACAGCAAGATATTATTAAAAACTGCCCCAAAGCTCCTATTGGCCAATAAAAATGCAATTTAACTTGTTTAGTTTCTGCTCCCATTTAAGCTCATTTTTTTCACTACTTTATGTATATATTATAATAATTTCCAAAATGAATGCCTATTTTATCATGAAAAACACACATACAAATGTTTTGCTTATTCCTACTCTGTCTTTTGACAGTTCATGTTGCTCTTCTTTCACAAAGTCATTATGTTGATTGAGGTCAAAATGTTTTTTTCTGAGAAATATTTTTTTGGGAAAAAGAATCATCCCATTACCTTGTTCTAATAACCACCCTTAGACTTACAGTAACCACTTAAAATTGAGGCATATGCCCAAAATAATTAAGTTTAGGAACATACTTACCTCAACTTCTTTTTCAGTAAGTGGAGGGGAGCTAGAAATAAAAGCAAAAAAATCACATTTTAATGTGTTTTGTCTCTAAAACCAAAGCTATTCTAATATTTGATTGAAAAGAACAATGTAACATATGCTTGAGGTTTATGAGTTTTCCACCACATTTCAGTATTGATTACAATCAAGCAGTGCTCTCTCTGAACTTCTTCACCTTGTGCATTCATTTACATAAAATATTGTATATAACAGTTCCTTCATGACAAATGTTAAATATTTATTTCATTGGCACAGAGGACACTTATTGACAGTTTCAAATGACTGAAGTCCTCTGGCGTTTTTGGAACAAAAACACTTGGGTGAATGTAGGAATTAGTTTTGGCCAAATATTTTTTGAATTGTTTTAATGTCTGGCAAAGCCCAAATCAGTGAATTTGCAAGTGAGTCTTTCAACTACATTTGCAAAATAAACTCAATTTCCCCGAAAAATTGTCACCTGCAGAAAAATTGCAGAATTCTTACCTGCCCCAATTCTACCATGGGTAAGCATTATCTGCCCTGATTATTTTTCTGGGGGAGAGAAATACCAATGCTTTCAACATGAATTTATACCTGCAACAGCAATCCTGGAAGCCAGGAGTGGAAAAATCCGTATTAAAACCTACTTGTAATAGGAAATTTAGGTTTCAGACTTTTTATGTAGAGTTTACAAACTGATTTTAAAAGTTGGCTGGTTACTGGAAGCTGGTGCCCTCTTCAAAATTTTTCAGAAAATCCACGTTGCACATTTTAAGATGCAGAGATTTATCTACTTGTGTGGACCTCTATGAATGGAACTCCATAAAGGGAGTTCACTGGAACCCATTAGTGTTCTTTCTCCCGGATGATCTTTCTGCTTCTAATGAGCTTTTACCTTCCTGGAAGCGATTTGTGCACGCGGAGTTTTCGCAGCAATACATCAGGAATGCTGGGCATGACATCAGAGCTATTCTTTGGCTCTTCCTCTTCAGTGGGGGAAGGGAGAGGCGAAGGGCCTGAAGACATTTTCAGATTTAAAAAAAAAAAAATTATGTTATTTGAAAAGTCATGCATTAACTATTAAAAGTCAGCATCTCAGAGGCAAATAGGATCTCTTAGCTTAACTGTGTCCTTTTTAAAATCAGTGAGGCTTCCACCCAACTCTACTGGGAGCAATACTGAACAAAAAGTAAAGGTCTATCCCTTCATGCAGAATGTTACTTCCTCTATTGCATGTGGTGATACATCACTCATCCCTCCTTTACAGCTAAAGATTCCCTGTCTTCCTCTGGAGGAGTGACAACAAAAGTAATCTGCAAAATCGTCATTGAAAAACTGAAGTAATATGTGCTCTGACAGTCTCTAATGCACTGAAAAATAATTTTTGTATTAGTATTTTTCCTAGAGTTCAAACTGAATGCAGATTCAGCACTTGAACTTCTAACCTAATGTTTTGCATTTGTGCTTTACATCATTTCTGGAATATTTGACATGAGATTTTCTAGGAGAATACTGTCATTTCCTCAGGCTTTAAATGCCACCTACCAAGATAAAGTCTAGTGTAATGTACTATACTAGAGATTTTGTGCAGCATTTATGGTAATGAATTACAACATGCACTCATTTCATTGCATGTGCATTGAAACACGACATGAAGATTATCCTTACTTTCTCTACTTCTATCACTTTCATAAGGACCGAGTATGGCTCAAACTTTTTTTTTTTTTAATTCTTATTACTTAGCTTTCGTATTTTAATTTTATTTAATTTTATATATAATGATTCCCTTCTCTCCTCCTATCTTGCCAGAATTTACTGAAGGACCTTCCTGTAGGAAAGGCAGGTTCCCCAGTTTGAATCTCAGACTTGGGAAGGCAACTTTGTACATGTCTGCTCTTCATTAGGTGTAACAGAAAGATTCTTAGACTTGCAAAACAAATAGTGTGAAAAAGCTCACATTTTATAAATGTGGAGAGCATTAACATGAAAGTCAGAACAAAATGGGAGATTCTTTCTAGCTACATTTTAGTTATGTGCTTTATATTTCCTTTATATTAAAAAATTCCAGTATTGTCTTAAGAACAGTCATGTGTTTCCCCATGAAATGCAGCTTGACACCACAGTGTCTCCAGATGTAATTTATTGCACTTATCTAAACTTCTGGAGATGCAAAGCTGTGTTTACTCAGATGATCACAATAACTTGTCATTGATAGAAAACATCATGGAGACAGTATATTGGATTAATAACAGTAATAATGAAGTATCTGGCTATTTCCTACTCTTTAAGCAGAATTACTACTCCAGCTAAAAAGCATAAGATGGCTTTTATGACAATGTAAGGAAGTCTCCCTAAAAAATGAACTAAGGATTTGATCCCTCGCTTGTTTTCCCCACTGAGGACAAAGAGTTGACCCTTAATGTTCTGGCTATCATTTAGATAAGTTACTGGACTCTAAAAAAGCTTGTGATGCTCATGAGATCTTGGCTGGAAAGCTGGATAAAATAATGCTTAGCTTTTCATAATGTTTTGCTCACAACTTTCAAACCTGAAAAAAATTATCCAACGTGCTGGTGAAACGGCAACTATTTTACATTTTCAAACAGAGCCTGCTAAATAATTTCCAGGAAATTACCTATTAGCAGAGTGACAGGAATAATATTATCACCTCTAAGAATCCAAAGCTATAATCACTAAATATAGAGGACAAGAAGTGTCTTTTAATCTTGTTTCATTCAGACTGAAGATGAGGCTCTTTCAGAGGTAACATGAAATGCCTCAACCATCTCTCAGTGTAACAGAAACTTAAGGCCTTATGAAATAGTCCCAAAGCAGATCTATGAATTAGCAAAATGAACAGCATTAAGAAAAATTGAGATTGTCTTTGGATCAGATTTTGGACAATCAGTTTCAGTTAATGTGGCCTTAAAAACACTCTGAACAAGTCCTGACTTTATTACTTCCAAAGAAATACACAGTTTTGGGGTAAATATTTTCATTTGATAGCTCAGCACTATTGCTATTTAATCCTTCCACATGTTGGACTGTCCTCAGGTTTATATCTTTGCTCTTTATTTTTATCCTGAATCTTTTTAGATGCATCAAATTTCTTGTGCTTGCATTAGTTTGGAAAAAAAACATTTGGTGCCGGATTTCTTTTTCCTCATTTGTGTAGAGTTTTAAGCCTTTTCCTTAAAAAACCATTTCCTTTATTTTTCCTTAAATATCATAGAAATTGAGCTTAAAAAATCCCCCTTAGGCAAGGCAAATTTTCCCAATCCTTCAGTCACATTTATGACTCTTCTGTGGCCTTACTCTTTCTAATAACATTGACATAGAAATGTGTACCAGAAGTGAAAATGCCATTTCAACGCTTGCCACACATATACTAAAATAAAAAAGCAGGAATAAAGCATTCTGTCTCCTGTTTATACTCCCAAGGATTAAATTCACCCTTCTGGCCACAATATCTTGCAGAGGTCACATTCATTCAATCCATCACTGCTGAAGAGTTTTTACAGAAAGCCACTGAAACTCAAGGCAGTCCTCCAGCTATTATGTCCAAAATAGACTCAGTTCCACATGTGCATCTTTTCACTTGGTTGTAATAATACCTACAGCATCTTCTTGGCTCAGGTCATCAGGAAATTCAGGTAGTTCCATTATTGGTCTCTCTTAATCACCATTTATTACCTTTCTCCATGACTGCTTCAACTATTGTTGCAACTGAACAAAAAGACTTTTCCTCCCACCCCTCCAACAGTCAATTATAAGAATCAGTGTATAACAAACACTCCTTTCAGTTTTTATGATACTGCACCTTTTTCCTGCTCAGCTGCTTCACTAAGTTCAGGAAGTTTAAGTCCAACTAAATTTTGATTTCTCATCAAAATATGCTCCTGTTAAGAAAAATAGTAACATATCTAAGTAACTGAACTAGAAATCTCAGTTTAAATATCCCTTCCATGTGAACAGTGAATATAACATTTACTTTAGTTAATAAACATAATGCAGATTATCTATATTAACTTATAGTCAGGTGCTACATAACACAGATACACAGACATTCACACACACTTTAAATTATTACATATTTCACATTTCATGCAGGCATTATTTAGAAAAAATCCTGGTCATGCAAACAGAGATTTGCAAAATGTGCCTCTTACTCAAATAGAAATACAGAGTTTTGAAAAAGAGAGTTTTAGTAATTGGGAGTGAAAAAAAGCAATTTTGGACACAGCTCCATTAACTACTAAGCATCCCAGAAAACAGAGAAAATTCAGAAAATCATATATATGAGACTTGACCACTTTGACTTGATTAAGACCAGAGCTTGGGATTCTACAGCTGCAAGTTAATGCTTCACTGTCACTGTATTCTGCCCCTACTCCTTACAGATAGGGAAAAATGCTCTCCAGAATTAAATCTTGTTGTATTATTTCTCCTTTTATCATCTCTTTCATATTCTCACATATTTTTTAAAATTCACAAACACCTGCTTTTGTTTGTGAGTAGACAATTCCTACTGGAGGCAAAGTTCAAAGCTCACCTAACTGGAATTACATATCGTGTTGTATTAATTTTTTAATTCTGTTATTTGTGCTTAGCAACTTCTAAGCCATTCAGAACTAGAGAATCTTAGACTCATAGAATGGTTTGGTTTGGAAGGGATCTTAAAAATCATTGAGGTCAAAACCCTGACCAGGGACATCTTCCACTGGGCCAAGTTGCTCAAAGCCCCATCCAACCTGTTCTTGAGCACTTCCAGGAATGGGGCATCCTCAGCTTCTCTGGGCAACCTGTTCCAGTGCCTCACCACCCTCACAGTAAAGACTTTCTTCCAACATTATATTGCTCAAGTGTCTCTATAATCAAAACTTACAGTACATGTACAGTAAGACTATGTGTGTTATATAAACAGGAAAAGATGAGTAGCTGAGCTGCCATTCCCAATACAATGAAAATGAATTAACCAAAGGGCAGAATTTGAGGTCCTCACCTGTCAGCCCTTTGTTCAGCTTAAAATATTGACTACTGGGAATCAAAGAAAATATTCTTATTAAGCTGTTCAGGAAAGTACCTACTACTAGTTTTTTTTTTTCTTTCAAAGGATATTCCTGTAATAAAGACATGGTAGTTGCTTTCTTATGGTGGTTTATCATTTCATGACATTTCTGCCTTTTTTCTTAGGGTTTAATTCTTAACTTTTACTAATCATTTAGACAATTATTTAACAATTAGTTTACAGATACCACAGTGTCCAAGTCTATGCTTCTGAATTCTGACACATTTGCATCATGTTAGAATTAGGAACTGTGAGTCTGGACATTCTCTACCTGCCCTTGCCCTCAGAGACCCCCAGTTTTACAGCTCTGGACACTTTGAGACATTTTCTGAGAATGTTCAATAAGCAAACAATCATACCCAAACCATTTACTGTCCCCTCAGACCTGCAACTGTAATGTTATTGCAAAGGCTGGTATTCCTGAATGACAGGACTACTGCCTTCAGAAGGGAGAGTACCAACCAACACAGGACTCAAAGACACTCAGCTGGACAAAGTAAAAGTGAATTTTAAATCCTAATAAATTTTACAAATAATATATAATACACAAAGTCTTGTAAACCCTTATACAAGAGTACTGTAACTCCAAACTTCAGTAACAGATTTCTGTTTATACAGAGGTCTCAGCCCACTCATACAGAAATGAAACAATTAGTCACTATAATGTGAGAGCCTGTGGATCTGAGGACAATTCTGAAGGAGCAGAAAAAGCATATCACAGGGAAGCAAAGGAAGTAAAAAAGCATAAGTGACTCTTTTAAAGAGAACTTCAGGTCTAAAATTCTCTTCAGAAATAAAATTAGATCAATTTAGTCCCATGTATGTTTTACAAATAAAATGATTGTTAATTGGTTGCTTTCTCTTTATAGGTCATGTAAATGATGCAAAAAATGAGCTATACTGTGTTGTAGACTCACCTTTCTGTCAGACTGAAAGCAATTAGTACATTCTTTCAGTATGACAATGTGCCAGAGCACATACATGCATACTGAAGATACCACAGTACACTTGATGCATGTTGAAATAAAATAATTCCATGGAATTACTTACAGGTTACAATTTACTAAAGTTGCAAAGGAAAAACATGATACAATTCTGTGCTGATTTTGCTGAAACTGTTTCCCACTATATCACTATATGTGTCTTGCAATGATAAAAATAATGCTAAGCAAGTTGGAAGTTTAGCAAGATGTGAAAACAACTTTAAACCAGGATACAAGTGGTTAGGACTCACTTCTCTGAGCTTTGTCAGCTTCTGCATTCGAACTGGTTGAACTTGGATTTGAAGGTCTTTGAATGCTTTTAACGGATTGCTGGGTTTATTACCAGCAAAGCTTTTATCTTCCTCAGATGGTAATTTTGAAGGTGTTTTCTCTTTCTGCCCAGGCTCCAAGCTGTCCCACGACACAGCCCGTAGCAGAGGAGGACGCAGTCCACACAGTTTAAATTCTGGTTTACATGAAACTTTATGGTCCCTCATTTCTGGAACAGGCATTTTTAGCTTTGAGTCCATATTTCCTATCCCTGGTCCTGGTAGATGGGTTCTTAAAGGAACATCATTTTCTTTTCCTTTCTTGAGGAATGATTTTCCAAGTTCATTTTCACAAACATTCATGCAAGTATTAAGAGACATTCTGCCACCATCACCACCTGAAGGGGGGCATTTGGGTAAAGTATCCATATGTTTACGTGGATCAAAGTTTTCTTTTTGGTCAGATAGCTTCTCTTTGGAGTTTTCAAAACCAGCAGAACGAGGAACCAACCTTCCCTGAGAAATCTTTCTTTGATCATTCTGCCTTCGATCAATTAATCCTTTTGCAGCATTCTGAAAGTAGAGGGACACACATAAAACAAAGAAACAAATCCAGATTCCTCTGTTCTCCCGCCCAAGGACAGATTTTCACTGTAAAAAGCCATTTCCTTTTCAGTGACATTTACTTTTAAACATGTGTGGTGACAAAAGAAATAATTTTTAAAAGGCACTTAAAGAATACTGAATTGGGAATCTCCTCTCTGAACTTTTGAGTTAACCTCTCCCATTCCAGACTCCATTACAGCAATGCTCACACAGCCAAGTTCCTCATCATTTTAATGTAAGGTTTGTCTGAACACACACCTTTAACCCTGTATCTTACAGCACTGTTACTTTCCTTTGTCTCTTTTCTGTTAGTCCCTCACCTCCCAAGGGAACAAAACCCCATGGGCTTGTACAGTAACTTAAAGCACATATTGTAATTTCTCTCTTCTTTCTTTGTGTGCAGTACCACAGATGATAATTTGGTCGCAATCTCTACAGGAGAAGAATTTTTGCCTATGCCTTGGCTCCTTTGGTACAGAATCTGTATTTTGTCTAAGAGTACCTGTGTTAGCAATTTAAGGTCACCAACATACAATCTGACCATGGGCTCTGCCTTAGATATCTTGCTGCTCCTCTCCTTTATAGTTACTGCTCCAAAACTCTGCTGCCATAGTGGTTTTTGTAAGCATGGCCCATTCCACACACAGAGAAACCTCTTTAACCAATATCACCTAAAACAAATTAGGAAACATTCATATAAACTTCTCCACTGGTAGTTGTGTGGAGCAGTAACATCCCACCAGTGGTAAGGAACACAAGGTTCAGTAACCTCTTCCACTGAACCAAAGGGGTCTGGAAGAGGATGTCTGTCTGAAACACTGGCATACACCAAAGTGGCTATGGTAGATATTTTTGCTTTACTTCTAAAGTCATTTAGTGTATTGATTTTAACTGAGCTAGTGCAGGGTGCATTATAGGATGTAAAGATCAACTGCAGGCCCATTCTCCTCCACCACATTTGCAGGTGCTTCACAATTTCCTAGAGCAGAATAATTTTCTTTTCACTCACTGAACAGTTTTTCAGCGTTTTTAGTCACAGAAACAAGTTATATGTGTTAAGACACAACCAGCAGACTTTGTTCACCTCTTAACATGAAACACTTACCTCTGCAGTTTGCCTGTCATCCTCTTTCACAGTTCTGTTATTCTAGCAAAAAAAAGGGAAGAAAGAATTGCCTTACAGGGTTATCTTTCACATCTACGCTGCAAATGTTAGATTTATTTATTTATTTAGATGTCACATTTATTTATGAAATAAATTTAGGGATTAGTTTTTTTTGTAGATTAGGATTATATTGGATCTTCTTCTATTTTCTACACTTAACAGATCTTTATGATCTTTCAGCACTTGTTACCTCATGGATTTTTGTCTTCAGAGTAAACATTTATTAGTCCCTCGCTCTGCAGAAAAAACGTATCAATAATCCAATCTTGCTGTATATAAACCAGTATTCCAAACATCCCATTTCCCTGGGGACTAAAGGAGCAGTATATACTAATATAGTACTGTAAAAACCAGGTTACTGCCCAGACTATTCAGCTCTTACCTGCCCTGGAGATACTGACTCAGTACTAGTGGTTGTGCATGCATCAGACCCTGGAAAGATACACACATAATTAGGGCATATTCTGATATTCTGCTCAGTTTTTACCTCTATAGCATTAGCAACACATATGTGCACAGTTCTCCATAATATAGAAAGGAAAAAATTTAAATGTCAAAAAAACTAATTTAAAGGAAAAAAATATTCAAAAATATAGTAAGTGAAAGATCATTAAAGCTTCTCAAAACTCCATTATTGAATAGTTTTAAAAAGTAGAACATGTAACCTTGCAGCACCACAGGAATAAAAATATAATTAAATATATATATGTAAAACTGTATTTTATATACATTCATGGGCTTTATCATATTCGAGAGTAGAGACTTAAATCTACTCTTGACTTCTCCTCAACAAATATTAATTTTTTTTTTGGTGTGAGCTTTTATAAATTAAAGTTTGAACCTGAAAATGGTTGGACTTGTTGATCTTAGAGGTCTTTTCCACCCTTACCTATTCTATGATCATTTTACCTGGAAGAGTGAGAGAGTTGCTCCGAGATGCTACTGGTGAAACTTTAGGACTAAGAGTAGGGGAAACTGCTTCATTAGAAAAAAGACAAAAACAACAAAAAAAGGTAACTTTACTTTCTAGGTTTGTAGCTTCTGAATTTTTAAAATTCAGATAAGATTAAAGCATGAATATCATAGTCATCAGTCATATGTTTTTCCAGAATCTGACAAGTAATTTTAAGTAAGTTAGGAACTTTAAGTATGTTTTATTTTTTATACCTGCCAAAAACTAATACTATTTTGTTGATACAGAGAATCCTTGTTCTCCTCAGTTTTCTGATACTGTAAGCATTGCAGAGAAGTAGCATAAAGTAGGATTCAGGTGGAATTTAGGAAAAAAAGAAAATTTAATTCTAGTAAGTGTAGCTGTGGGGGTTTTTTTCCCTCCAGAAACTGTCAAGCCAATTTTAAGATGAAACTTTGTTTGAACTGGCTTTTCAAAGCTAAATGAAAGTCCTATTTCATGGTAAAATGGCACTTTGTTCCAGTTTTCAAACACTTCATATAAGGGGAAAAAAATAATTTCAATTGACATTCTAGAACAAAACATTTTATTCTGCTGTTTTCAAAGTATGATCTGGTTCATTTAGCTTAGTTTATGACTATGTTCAGAATAAGAGTCTGTAATTATGTCTGGGGTAATGTTTTATCAGCAGTATGAATCATTAAAATTTCATTTAATGTAGAATAGGAGCATTAGGAAGAAAATACCCACAAACAGTAATTTGTGACCATTTTTTAGATTTCAGTAGAAATACCTCATGCTTTCTTGTTACAGTATTTGCAGTGTGACATTCAGGCACTTAAAAACTTCACAACATTTTCCACTGACACATCTGAATACAGAGATCAGTCATTTCTGTTTTATATGGAATCATGAGAGGGGCAGAGGGATTCTGAGCATCAAATGAACAACGTGTATCTAAACAGTAGCAATGTGTGGATAACAGTAGTACTTGTTTGAAGTAGAATACACAATCCTCTTTTCAGGATCTGCACCTACCCGTGGGTGACTCTGGGAGGCTGCTCCTTGACTTTCTGCCTCTGCGCATCAGAAACCTCTCACTCACTTTCTTTGCCTCTTCTAGTAACTCAAGGTTCTTCTTCTTGTCTTCCTCTGATATTTTGACATCTGGTAGCTGATCATTTACCAGGTCGATCACGTGCCCGCTGTTGTCTGTGTAGAAAACATCAGAATTAGAGCTGTACCTCCAGTTTCCAGATATACTGTGGCATGTTGGAGTAACACCTAGAAATTTAGCTTGGAGCTTGCATTTAACAAACATTAATGTCTGCTCATTTCTAATGTTATATTCTCAAGTTTAGAGCAAGTCCTCCAAAACACAGATGACCCACTAAGATTAAATTCCTATGATGAAAGATGCTCTGATATGTGAAACTGCTTTTTTCAGCAGTGTCCCCAATACAGTTGCTCTAATTTCTAAATAAAAGTGGCATCTGATCCATCTCAACTAAGTCATGGCATTTCTGTTGTAGATTGAGTCTTTTCCTGGAATCTGTATGCTCAGTTTTTCAAGGCTAAGATCCCACAAATTCACCAGGCAAAGATTTATGCACACTAGTTTTAAGAAACAGGTGATTAAATGAAATAACCTATAACTAAAGTGCAGAGTTTGGAATTTTAAAGATTTTATTCTATGCAGACAGAAGAGCTTTCCCCACAAGTGCAGAAGCAACAGTAAAGCTGCACCTGGCAAAGCTGTAGGCAGGAGCTGAGTAGCTAAAGCCCAAGAATTATAAAGCTGTTTCAAAAAGCAAATCAATCTCTACCGTGTGGTGGACCTGCAAGAATTTTCCAAAGCAAAATTCCCAATAGAATACCCATTAGAGTACCCAAGGGTTAAAGAGGGTGTTGTAAGAGGTTGCTTTTCCTCATGCACATTTATGTTGATGTTAGGTAAGTGACCCGGGAGGGTGCATGGACCACAAACTGAAGGTCACTGCCTTACACTTAGGCCTTTAGGTTAATGCATTGCTTTCTAAACAATTTTAATTATTTGTAGAATGAACCCATTAATTCCTGGCTTCCAGATGGTTTGAAAACACGAAACTTTGAGCACCAATTTTTACAGTTCTCAATGATGAAGCAAAGAAGGCAGCCAGTTGTCGGAAAGGCAACTTTGTGAGTTGGTATAAATGGCTTTTACAAGCATCTAAAGAACAGCTTGGATGGGGGGGAGGAGGAAAGTCATCAGGTAATATAAGAAAAACATTTTAAAATTTGACAAGAGCCATTACAGAACCACCAGTTTTCAGAAAAGCTAAGGACACGAGTAAGCAACAAAAATTCAAGGGTTTTTGGTTTGTGGGTGTGGGGTTGTTTCTTTACTGGGTTTTGGTTGATTTTTTGGGGGTAAGGGAGTGGTGCTTTGGCTTTAATTTCCTTAAATTTACATAAATTTCAAGGCTGTCAAATATCATGCCCACAGAGTGAATATTCTTAAAACAACCTATTTTCAATGAAATATCTGTTTTGGTTTGAACCAAGATTTGTGTGTTAGAATTTTGAGAGATGGCCCTTCCATGACACTTTCCCTCTGCCAGCAAAAGAGAAGATTTGCAAGACATGGTAATTTCTACCTTCCTTGAGCAAGTAAGTTCAAAAGTAACAAAACCCATTACTACTGAATAGTAGTCTCTATTCAACAAGAATTTAAAGCACATACATCTTCAGCCTTCTAAAAATGTTAAGCTACTGCAGCAATCTAATAATACACACATTTCCCTGAGTCACTCTGCATGCAATTCACTTACAAAATTCAACATGCCAGCAGTATTCCCTGTGCATGCGAGGGACACATTACATAGGGTGCACAAGAAAAAACTGTAGTCAGAGCAGTCAGACTCTATAATTAGGTCTTTACTGCACGTCACATTTTCTGAGAAAACATCCCAGCTTAAATGAGTAATCTCTTCTTACCAACAGAAGTCAATGAACTTGTTGAATTCCTATTGGTACGGTTAGAATGTCTCCTATGAGGACTACGAGACCTAGAGAGAAGAATTTAAAAAAAAAGTCCTAATTACCTATAAAAATTTAACACTAAAAAGAAAGCACTTTGATTAAAAAAAAAAAGAAGACAAAAAGCATTTATTGTAGTTCCTCTCATCTCCAAACAACTGGAAAATGGAGGAGTTGCAGAATGAAGGAAAATTGTAGAAACTGCTCTCACAAAGGAGTTCTGAAATTTGGTAATAACCTCATACACTGTGAGTTTAGATTTCTCAGAAAAAGTCCTACATCTCTTTAGACCATCATCATGACTTAAAACTCATGCAAATGTGGTACATAGCGAAAAAAATTTAGTGTTTTTAAATTGTTACAGCTTCTTAAACTAAGTTTTAAGGCTGAAATAATTCCTTAGGCTCCCACACTGACATTCCCATAACGTCACATGCAAACCCGGTGAAAGTCTCAAATGACTACAGAAATTTAAATACTGATCTGGCAAATAATTTTAAAGGGATGCATTGCAGTTCTGTCTCTAAAATAATCTTGAAGTTTGGTGAAGTATAAGCAAATTATAGATTTATAATCAATACTTTCTGACTCATTTTTCCCCTGTATTTTAAGTCCAATAAATTAAAAATCCCAGGTCAGGAAGTATGCTTTATCAGAAGAGTGGAAATAACCTTAATTCAACTTAAAACTGAAGTTTTCCACTTCAAACAGAATTATTATTTCCATTTAATAGCTTACTTTCACATATGCTTCACCTCAAGGTGGTATTCTTGTCCCATCCATGTGAACGGGCCCAAATATCTGCTTCAAAACTCATTGTGTTAAATTATTAAATCTGTATTAAATCCGGATTCAAGACATTTAAGTTGTCCAACTCAATGAGTCAGGTTGGCAGGCTTAGTATTATATGCAAGTCTGGCCTTTTAGCATCAGTTATATTCCTGTTCCCCCACCCTGCATCCCAAACACCATCATCAAAATGCAAAGACAACATAAGCAAATCACAAATGGAGAAATATAACAATACTTTCATACAATATACATTTCAAAGCAGTATTTTAGAAACACAGCACCTGGAAGTACTGTACAATTTATGCATAGATGGGTAATGTATTATACAGTACCTGTTAACCAGATTTTTATCAATTTCTGAATCTGGTGTAGCAGCATTCTCTGGAAGAACAATAGAAGGTGTGCTGCATGTTGTCCCTTCAGCTCTAGTGTCCTGCATGGTTTGTGACAAATATAAAAATGTGGTTAAACAGAAATTCAAACCACAGTATGCTGATGCTCTATGTGAAAAATAATGTGCATTGCTCAATTTGGCTAGAAGAGAAAATGACTGAACTAAGAGAGAATTAGTTCTAATTAGATAAAACAAATGTGATTTACAGGCCTACACTTAAATTACTAAAAAGAGATGAAGAAGACTCGTAATATCTGTTTCTTTAAGAAGTTTTAGTGCATGCAAGCTAAATTCACTAAGCATGGAACTAATGAGAAAGCTTTAGAATGGCAGACACACTGATTTTTCACACAGCAAACCATTCTTCTACTGAAGCAAATGTACAACAGTATAGTGAATTTATGAGCTGAATGCAGGAGTGAAAAGCAGCTCTATCTAACAGGGCTAACTTGGGCACACAAACCCTCCAAATGGTACTAGTGTGTAATGAAAGCTTGAATAAATGCAGTATTAAGTGTAGATATGATACCCAAAACATCAGAAAATAATGTTATTTTGCTAAGAGTTGCACGTGGCTTTCCTTCACATTACTTGGAAAAATATTTTTTAAAAATATAATTGCAATATTTAATAAAATGATGATTTTTAAGCAATAAAAGAAATTGGCACGGAATATTAATTTATGCTCGCCTGCCTAAAAAATATGAGACCTTGCCCCAAGAACTTAATCCCACACCTGCACAGTGATGCCAATCACTTGAAGAGAAGGAATCAGTCTCCTGTGAGATATCACAAGTGGAGGTGCCTCAAGTTGGAATAAAGTCCTGTGGATTTCTCATATGTAGTAAAAAAATGATTATGTCTACCCCAAGCACTACATTGAGATTAAAACCAATAAGCAGCTGGAGAAGAAACTTCCCATCATAACCCTTCTCCCTCTCAAAGGTAATGAAATATGCCTTGATTTGAAAGCATGATTAAGGATTCTTGATTCTATTGTAAATAGCATTTTTTTTTCAACTAAACCAAAAACATGTCATGCAGCTCTACACTTCTATAGTCATAATTCTCCTATGAAGTTCCTTGGGAAGTTCACCTCGTCAATCACAGGAAAGCAAGATGGGAAACATGCCAAGAAAACACTAGGAAGATGTAAGTTTTAGAAAAATACCCTTGCAGGACTGTAAATGTTAGAATGCTAATGCATATGTGATTCAAGGGCACAACTGACACTCGATGACAACAGTTTGAAAGCAATATTTAGTCATATTCTTGAAACTGTTACTAAGTAATCATATCTTTTGTCAGTGACAAAACTTCAGGTGACTGCCCTGCCTGCAGGGCAAAGCAGCTGAATACACAGGCACATTGTTTATACACATCTCACGACTGCCAAAAAGCAAAAGCTTTTGAACAATGTAACATCAGCCTTGAAGTCACTCAAGTCCATTTTAGGACTCTAAAACCAGCTTAATAACAAAAAAAAAAAAAGAAGGATTAAAAGAAAAGAAAAAAAAGAAAAGAAAAAGAAAGAAGCTGCAGCCAAGGCTAGTTCGGGTCAGGTAGAAAATATTAATCTTGGTCAGCAGCTGTAGCAGTTCAACATCTACACAAGTGAAACCTCATGGCTTCTATTGTCCAAACCTACTGTACATTCTGCAGGAGAGGGGCAGGAAGAGGGAGGGAATGACTCTCTTTGCAGGGCCAGTTGGCTCGAACCAAAAGGAATCGTTGTACTCTGAAGAGCGCTCAGGCTGCTTTATGCAGGTCTTGGAAGAGAAGCTTTAACAGGAAGCTTAGTCTGTCTCACAAAGCCATACAATGTGCACAGAGATGACACAGAAGTTTTCCATCACCCTCCCATTGTGTGCCTTTAACTGTGCTCTCCTTGTTAGCTTCCAGACCAGTCTGCTCTTCAGCTATTCCCAACAGCTGCCTTGCCAGTGGCTGCCCTGCTACCCAAGTCTTTGCCTCCTTTTTGTCCCAAGCCCTCCCCCCACAAAAATGTAGGATAAAACTGACTCTATTGCTCAGGTGGGAACTGCTCCCTATGCTCCACATGCTCCACAGGGATGACCACGTGCCACCTAGTCTTGCAGGGAGGTGTGTGCAGGGCTGAGAGGGTGGCACACGCAGTTTGGTCCATAACAGAATATCCAAGAGGACCAGGATTCTGAGGGTGGAGATGGGACCTGCAGACATTCTGGCTGTTAAATTCTACCAGACCCTCACTAAGCATACAGAAAACGTGTTTCTGAAAGCTTTATAATCCAGCCAGATTTGGATGGATGTGAACATTAATGAGGGGGGAATACAAAACTACCCTCTGCTAAAAGGCCTACTATGCCAGAAGAGTCAGATGATAGAGCTTTACTGTATATCACCTGAAGTCTTTAAAGCACTCAGAAAAAAAAAGAAAATAGAAAATCCTCTGCCACCTGATCATATTTTTAGATATTAATTAAAAGTCTGGATGGAATTTCAGAAAAAATCTGGCCCAAAACAGAGGCTTATGTGAAAGACCTAAAAGTTATGTGTCTCAGAGAGCAGTCTTTGGAGTGAGATGGGATTTTAAATAAGCTTGATTTTAAATGTTTAAATGAGGTGCTCAGCTCGGAGTTTAGCAAATAAGGTAGTGTAGCTGTATCTAGTTGAAACAGGAGAACAAAGCAAACATGGGACACCACCCATCCGAACAAAACAGATGACATGCAGTGGTCTGATAAAAGTACAATACAAATTTAAATAAGGATAATGAGAGATAAAAGAAATGCAGGAGTTTGAATGATGGAATAATCAGTGTATGAAAAACATTATGAACACCTGAGACAGACTTTTCCTCAGCAGTCAGAAGAGCCAGTAAAATAGTGATCAGGATACATAGAGAGCAAGCTGGAAGTAGACACAGGGATTTTTGATTTAAAAAGAGGGAAAGATGACAGCTCACAACCAACCCAGAAAGCGTAGGGAGATTTATAGGCCACTATGAATTTTAACATAACTGGTAAGGACGTAATCTTCTTTGATGCAGTTATGCATTACATTTATAGAAATTACATTTTTAACAATAAAAACCTGAAATGAGTTTTTTAAAGTGTCAGTGAAAGCATATTACAATATTATATTACTCTATGTGAAATAAATCTAATTAAATTTAAATTTGGAAATGACTAAAAGTTACATCTGACCATGAAGTTCTATGATTTATGGTAGTGAAAATGATTTTGTATAAAGAAAATCTAAAATGTTCAATACTTACTGCAACAAGACAGCACACAAACTGAGGTTGAACTAAGGATTCAACTACATGCTCTTAGTTCAGATCAGAGGTTAAAGTTCTTTGAATTAGGCTCAGTGCCCTTACACCTGTGCTAATGGGAATTTCACATCCACCTCCCTTAGGAACACAGAGCTGAGGAATACTATAGTGATTTTTGTTTAGAATTAGTCAGAATGGTGAACACTGGCTGCTGCAAGAAATACTGAAATGGAAATCTGTATTTGTTTTCTCAAAATGAATTTGAGACATATAACCCAGGTCTTCCCATCATAAGAAAGGTATTTGGAGCTTGCAGGAAACCACGTGTGATGTAAGGTTCATTTGCTTTCTGTCAGAACTGTTTTGTGAATCTCTGTGCATTTGGTCATGCAGGGAAAAGGTGGGGAAGCACCTCCTGAAACAGAATGAGGAAATTGTTAAATACCAGACAGCACTTTGGAAAAGGTGATATTCCAGACTTGGAAAGTTTTGTTGAATGGCAGAAAACAAATCCACCAGTTGTTAGTTGTTTCTGATGCCCTCTCCTGGCTTGCAAGTCCTTCTCTCACAATAATAAACCATTTTACTTATAGTGACTTATAGTCACACTGCAGAATTTGGTCTGCAGCAAGACCCAAGAGTGACAACAGGTATGAAAAAGATCAAATCCTCACAAGGTTGGCCAGTGGCAAACCTTAACTTAAGAAGGCTTATGAGCAGTGTGTGGTTAAAATCCTTCCACTGCTACTTTGTGCCTAACAATAAACATGCACCTAAAATGAGGCATTTTGCACAATTAACTGATTAATGAACTATCACATTATCATAGTTCATTTAAGACCCATTTCTAAAAGGCCTGTAAAATGCATTTAAAAAATAACTTTTTTTATATTATGTGGTTGGAAATCTTCATTTCTCCCCTTTGACAAGCACACTTAAGACTGGAATCACTGATATCTGCTGGCTTTTCATAGTTTTTTCCTCTTTGGGTATGTTTTACCCAGCAAGTCTTTTGTACAAAAAGACTTTTCACATAGGTGAGTTAAAAATCCCAATAAAATCTTTTTGAGCTAATATATGTTCTCAGCTAATAGTCTGATGAACTTGCATCCACCTGGGGTGTTTATCTTAAACCAGGAAACTAACACTCAGCACAGTGTGCAGTTTAGATGGAATGCATGACAAATCAGTGTAGGGCTCACTGCTCACAATGTTTTCCAACAATGTTGGAGCAGCGGATGTTTTCATCTAAAGTGTAGAATGTAGTGTCCTCAAACCCAATGATGGTGATGCATTTTTAACTGAGGATGTGCCAGATTATAAATCCTCTCTTTCTTTACACCAGTTTGCATACAATTGGATGACTTGGATAAGTTGTGATTTTCTAATCAGTATAGGTTCTTTACCTCAGCTAAGATAATGATTAAAAAAAAGACACAAACAACCCCAGTTTATTAAAACATAAAGTTACTTTTTATCTTTGGTATAGATTATTGAAAAGGGAGAAGAGCCATCTCTTACTGATTTTTGTAATTTATCTGCAAACAAGACATGTAAAAACATATAGATGCCACAAATTAGAGAGGCCAAATGATGAATATGTCTGGGGAGCACCCACCTGCTCTCTGCATAGTTCCCATGTACGTTCAGCTACTGCTGAGAAAGACTACAAACCAAAACACCCTCATGAATTGCATAACATCTATATCTGTAAAAGCAACACTAGTTGTTCCAAGACTACTGTGAAGTACAAGCCTAAATTATTTTCTCAAAGGTTCCAGTTTTCTGTAATCACATCAGAAAGGACATCTTTGGACAGCTTTGGTATATGTCTGTCCGTTCTGAACCATTTATAATCCTCCAGATCAAAATGATAAACAACTGCCTGAGCCACTTGAGTTCTCATCCCTTAGGCTATAAAATATTTGAAGAACTCTAAGAATATCAACTGAAGGATCATTCACAGCTCCATCGACCAAGCAAAACACACTAATTCAGCGCAATGATTAGATTTTGTTTTATAAACTCCTAAATATACACAAAGTGCTTTCACCCTCGAGTTTCCAACAAGAGTCAGAAAACACCTTTGTAAGAGTGCTTACTTTGGCTGGAGGAGAACTGTTGTGCTGTGCCTCTTGTGCTCGTCCCTTGTCTTCAGGTGAGGTTGGCATGGTGGGCAGCGTGAAGCACGTGGAGCTGCACTGGGCACTAACAGGACCATGCACTGCTGGCAATGGTTGTTTCAAGTCAGCCTGAAGGCATAAGCTCTGAGAGGCCTTGTGATCTGCAGGCTGTGTTAGATGCCAAAAAGACAAACCAAATCTGTTTAAAACTCTGTGCTCTCACACTGAGATCACTTTACAATAACAAACAGCATTAAGGTTTAAAATTAAAAATGCTATCTTGTGTTTTATTAACTAAAGCTTTCAAGGTCAAGTATAACCTAGCAAATGCATTCAAAACAGACAACCTTCCATTCTTTTTGCTATTTCCACCTCTTCCCTCCATTTTACTGATTTTTATTTTGTCATTATGACTGTGACCTCTAAAAATCTTCTAAGAACTCAACAGCATCTTGGATATCACAGAATTACAGAATGGGTCAGTTTGGAAGCGACCACAGAGGGTCATCTGATCCAGCTTCCCCGCTCAAGCAGGGTCATCCTAGAGCACATGGCACAGGATTGCATCCAGATGGTTCTGGAATATCTCCAGTGAGGGAGATTCCACAACCTCTCTGGGCAACCTGTTCCAGCGCTCGGTCACCCTCACAGGAAAGAAGTTCTTACTCATGTTCAGGTGGAAATTCCTGTGCATCATTCTCTGCCTGTTGCCTCTTGTCCTATTGCTTGGCACCACCAAGCAGAGCCTGGCTCCATCCTCTTGACAACCCCCCTTCAGATATTTATACACATTGATGATGTTCCCTCTCGGTCATCTCTTCCATACTGTGCCTTTTAGCAACTAACAAAGTCTTCATGCTACAGAGAGTGATCTCAGAGGAGCAAAACTGGAACCCCAGATGGTGGCACTCTTCATCTGAGCAAGAGCAAGGCCTAGATCAGTTGTGCAAAGACTTGGTACCTCTGCACAAGACAACAGGAAAAAAAATTCTCTGCCTATTAACTGAGAAAATTCTTGTTCTTAGTGTCGAGGGGAGGTGTTGCATTCACAAGACAAGAGAGTCTGTACCGAGGTCTGAGGATGAGCAGCGTGAAGAACAAATCAGTCCTTACAGCAGCAGTGGGCGGATTGCAATACTTACTGCGACACCTGCCCGAGAGTTAGGGAACTGTCCTCACCAACACATCACTGACCTCGGCAACACATCACGGCGCTCCCCGGCGGCGCCTGCAGGGCATCAGACACCGCCTGGTGCACAGCTGCTGTCTGCACCGGGAACAGCTGCCTGCATCCCCTGCACAGCTCCTGTCTGCACCGGGAACAGCTGCCTGCATCCCCTGCACAGCTCCTGTCTGCACCGGGAACAGCTGACTGCATCCCCTGCACAGCTCCTGTCTGCACCGGGAACAGCTGACTGCATCCCCTGCACAGCTCCTGTCTGCACTGCATCCCCTACCACAGCTCCTGTCTGCACCGGGAACAGCTGCCTGCATCCCCCTGCACAGCTCCTGTCTGCACTGCATCCCCTACCACAGCTTCTGTCTGTACCAGGGCCAGCTGACTGCATCCCCCTTACAAATTCCCAGCTGAGCACAGCACAGAGCAACACACTCAGTACCACAGCAACTTCAGTAGTTTGCCCAGCAGATAAGTATACCCAGAAAGCACAAGTTCAACCTCCAAAAGCATGTTATCTTCTCCCAAACCAGAACTCCTGATGTCATCTCAATTCTTTTACTCTTCTGGAACTCAAGATAGATGGAATAAAGAGGTTGAGATGGGGAGATGATTTGAAGTTCAAGGCATTTAGCAGAATTCCAAGATTAACTTTCTACAGTTTTCCCTTCCATTTCAGGGGTGGGCAAAGAAATGTTTTCAGGAACATGTTGGTTTATTGAGACTGACAATCAAAATTGTCAAAATAAAGCTGTTGATCTTTTTAAAAAAATAGCAAAAAGAAAGAAGAGGCAGAACCATTCACAAGAATTAGTGAAGCAGTCTCAGTAGTGACAAGTTCCTCACCTCAGCTCTCACAGCAAAAAAATCTGTGTTGTAAAACCTGCAGGATGTGTGAAAACCTTGGACTGCAGAAGCAGATAAGACTGATGCTTTTATTATGTTTATTTCACCTTATGTTGGAAACTTAATTTTCTCTTTTACTAGAAGAGGAATACAAGGCCACCTCACATGACATTTCATGCAGAACTAACAGGTTATAATAATGATCCTACACAAGCATTAGTGTGTTCAGGGAAAATAATTATTTCATGGCAGTCCTTTGATAAAGACTGTGAAAAAGATGCAGCATATACATCATCATTACAAATGAGACTGTTTTTGAACAGTGAGCATGAAGATTTCTCAGAGCAGTAAATGCTTTAGGGACAGCATGTTTCAAGCTTTTGTAAACATTTTGAACCTCTTACAGGAGAATTCCTACCTCTACTGAAGTCAGTGGAAGTTCATGTTTATATCATGATTTTACCCATCTCTGACTTCAAATAAGAGTAGAGGAAGCTTTCTCTGAATAAAATGTTTTTAAAATGTTTATTATAGCAAAACATCTTTTAAGTCCCTAATATGATAGAAAACAGAAATTTATGATTACATAGATTTTAATAAACCCTCAGAGATTAGACAATTAGCAGTAGCATTAAACATCTCTGTGTTTCAACAATTAAGTATCAAACAACAGTCACAAACCAGGTGACTATGAACAACACATGAAGATGAGATGGAAGCAAGGTAACTAAAAAAAAAAAGTGGCACAGGCTTGCTTTTCCTTTGCAGCAAAATCCTGGCATCCTACACAATTTCTGAGTTTGCAAGAACTCAAATTCAAACAAAAACAAAAAAGAGAAGATACAAATTTGGCTGTTTATCTAATCCTTCTTCAGTGTTTGCCTTATGAATTTATACTGGTTCTGATAGATTCAACTCAACAGAATGCTGGGCCTGAAAAATCAGGAATGTTTTGAGTCATGGCCAAAGCATGTTTGCAGTCCTACATGGAATTGTATAAGCTATTGCATCAAAGTGGTTTATTCCAGGTCTTAGCTGAGTTCCTAGTGCATACTAAACTTAAAAGAAGTAATGTAAGTTATCTTGAAACAAGAAAGAGCTGTTAAGCACATCAAGTTTCAGTTCATTTTTTAGATTTAAAAAGCAAGAAAACTTTGAAAGCAGAAGACATAAATCAGCAGGCTTGTCTAAGAATAGAAAGGGACAAATCTCGAGCTGTGTTGTCTTAGAGATGCAGCACAGAAAGTACAGCCAAGGCAGAACGGAGGGGAGAAAGATGAATTTACTCCACCTTAACAACCCCCAGATTTGGAGTGGACTGAGCTCAGGCCGTCTCTGACACAGTTAGAACCTTACTCTGATTTCCTTACAGAGCTATCTTGCAAATAAGCTCCAAATCTTTGTGCTGATCAGTAGGAAAATTTCGTCCTCTGACTTTCCATTTTTTCCTAATATCTCTCCAGAAAACCCCAGTGTTGAGGACTATATTGGAGCAGTGAAAGCTTGCACATAATTATTCATATTCTTAGGCTTCTTAAAACAAACACCATCTTTGCACACCTTGACTGCACTGCTGCAGTCCTGTACACTGCCAAAGTGAGGACCATTACATATTGGTATTTCAACATAAAGATGTTGTTCAATTAATAAACTATATGATTTAGAGCTCCTGAATTATTAATTTTTCAATCTAAAAGCTTATCTTTAACTTGTGCAGAGTTCTTAAAATCAGCAGTCCAGATCCTTTAAAGACTTTATGATGTTTAACCAGCACAAACATCACGTATTATAAATGCAAAAGGATATAATCAATGGAAATACCTCCTTGCTCCACGCTGTGCAAAGAGTTCTGCCATTTTCTGCATCAATTACTGCCTTCTGACACTGGTAGGAAAGGCAAAGGTTTAGAAATGATGGAACCTTAAGATATTAGTGAATAAATGTCCTTCCATCACTGCTGAAGTGACCTTATGCCCATTTGGTTGGGCAATGAAAACAGCCCCAGTAAATGTCACAGAGAGTCAAAATGTATAGAAAAAGGGGGCTTTGTGAGAACTCTGACAAAAATTAGAGGAGCTTATCTGTGTCTCATAGATGTAGAAAGAAAAGAAAGAAATGTCCTTGGAAAATGTATTTCACTGGAAGGTACATTTTTTCTGCTGCAGAGCATTAGGGAGGAGTGCAGCCTTGGAGTTTATAGAAACTCACACCTCTATTTACAAAACCAGCTCACAGCTTCCCTGAACATTGAGCCACAGTGCAGAGAGCATCACTATCCTGGTTCTAAGCCTGGCTCATCTGCCAGCTGAACAGCCTTTGGAATAATGCTACCATCAGCTTTGCCAGCTTTATCTCCTTTCCACAAGAATAAGCAGGTTTCAGTCAAAGGAGGAAATGATATGCTAACAATACATGTAATGCAGTGAGGTGCCAACTGAAACAACTGTCATTTTTGTCCCTGAAGACACTGAAAGGAGAGATAAAAAAATACACCTGCATTTTAAAAATGGTCAAGGTGCATAAGCACATGTTAGCATCCCAGGCAGTGAGACAATTTCAAGATTCTGTTATTTCTTTTGTTAGGCATTGATCAAACTCTGTCTGGCCTATATCCTATGAAAGGATGTCAGGACATTATTGTAGCATTTTATCAGAGTAAATGATCTCCCTCAAAACTCCATTCTTTTAAAAATTGCAAGAGTTCCAAAATTACCTTTTAAAATTAAATACTGGTAGAGATTAACTCACATGTCACAGGCAGAGTGGATTTGGGTGAAGATCTACAATCTCAGTCTGCACAAGCCTTTTGCACCTATAAAATGAGTTAAAAAAACACAAACAAATGACCTACCCTAGTTACCAGATTCTGCTTATTCCCACACTAGGAGAAGACAATCTAAAGAAAAAAAAGTAAGAAAAAGAAAGAAAAGAGAGGATGGAGTGCTTTTTAACATTTTGGTCTGTTATTATAAACTTACTGCTTAAAATAGTTAGGAAAAAAATGATCCCCTGAGCTCAAATTTGTAGTCAGATATAGATCAGTGAATGCAGAGAACTTTCTTTTACCGCTGTGTAGGCTTAGAGTACAATCTCCAGGAAATGGAAATCTGGGAGCTCTATTCCATAAAAGGGAAAAGTATTTAGAGGCCCTTGGCTTTCAGTGTGTTCTCTCTGCAACTCATTTTACCATAGTAGAGAAAGTTAAGCATAATCAGTTAACTCACCCTCTCTGAGTCACGGCCGAGTCCCGTGTCAGTGAAGGCTCAGATAAAGGTGCTTTACTCCATCCCCACTGATAGCTTGGCACTTGACCTCGAATGCTCTGTCACGTCACAACAAGGATACACAAAAAAGAGCAGAAATAAACACTTAAGAAAGCATTTTATTAATATATCTTGACCTCATACTGCCTGGGGTCAAGTCAAGCAACTCTCATTTGTCAACAACGGGAGCTGCGTGCTCATGAACACAGCTGAGCTGCACCAACCCTCAGTTGCTTTTTGTAACTTTTTTCTTTGCTGTGCTGCAAAGTGGTTGTAAAACACTAACACTCCTGTTTGCACTCCTTTTTGTATAGCTGTAAAAGCACATGGAATTTGTGCAACATTTTGAATTATGTTTTGCAGCTTTGAAGTACTTAAAAACCACTAAACTTCCTTCCTTCAAACCGAGTGCGAGCAAAACAGGGTGGTTTTCTCATGTTTTTACCATAGATCAAGTTTTCAAAGACAAAGCATGATTATAGTTTAGGATACACAGACAAAGTTTATTGGCATGCATTAGCTATCTCAAAAAATTAAACGAACCTCAACAACACAACCAAACCAAATAAACAAAACACATAAAACCAGATCCAGGGTATCTTGACAGAAATACTTTAATATTTTGCTTTAGGACTTCAAAATTTTTGTGTAATAGAAATATTGACTGAAAAAGGTAAAAAAACCAAACCCACTACTAAAGCTGACTCATGTACATTCTTACTCTGTGTGACAAAAGATACTACATGGAAGTTGGAAGACACTTTCTTTATTGTCTGCAGCACAGGAAAACACTGACTGTCTCCTACTACATCTCATTTTTATGACAAAAGAGTGCATTTTCATGGTAAGTACTTAGGTTTGCAAGATATTAAGATCCTGCTCCAGCCAGTTTAGCAAAACACACAGTCATAGCCCCCAGGACTAATGTAAGGCCCCTCTGTGATAACCTCCCTGTTCTGAGTTCTGCCCACGGCCAGACAGCCGTACAAAGTAAAATCTGGAAGACAAAGTGGTGTTTCTGTTTATGAGATACAGAACAACTCCTCTGGGGCATGCAAAGTGTATGTAGCCACTATGTGAATTCAAAGCATCTGTTTTCATTCTGAGAACTACAGAGATGAATTCCTGAGCACAGAGGTTAATTCCTGAGCAACTTAAATAATACTTCCTGACAGAAGAACACTTCCAGGTTGCAGCCTCAGAGACAAGGGAAAAATGTGCATAATTCTGTCACAAAGGTATTTTAAAGGAAGAAACTAACAAAAGCTTAAGGAAAATACAGCTTCTAAAAAGCATCTCTCAGACTAAGTGTGTACAGACTTCCTTGGGACTACAAGCTACACATACAGGACTTGATTTACAGAGCACCATGACAGGAAACAATCTCCTTGTCTGCTTCCTGTTTTCCTCATAGCTCAGGAACACATAAAACTTGATGGTTTTCAATAATGTGCTTGAATGACAGAAAGGAAAAGTGAGGTCAGGCAGAGAGTAAAATCTTGTTTTGATGCATGTTGATTGGGAGCACTCAGGAGAATATCTCCAGCAATGGCTAGTTATGACACTGTTGAGACTGAAAAACAAAAGCTTTGGGGGTAAAAGGTTATGCTGGTCCATTACCAACAAGATCAACTCCTAGAACAAGGCATTTGGTTGGGTTATGCACTAAAAATTTTATATCAGAGTTTAAAGAAATCTGATAACTAACCCCGACAGAGTTTAATGGAAAACGTTTCCTGGGAGTTACGTACTTAACTCCAATAGGATCCATTCTGGTCCCAACTTTAGGCTTTTCCCTGATGCATTAAAGAAAAAGGAATTGGGCCTGATTTCAGTCACAGACAATCATTTTAACACAGCTAAATGGAAATTTAAGACTTACTAAAAGATCATAACTGTATTTGAAAATAGCACTTTTTTTTTGTAAAACGCTGCCTGCCAGCTTTATTTGTTTTAGCAATGTTTTTACAATTTTGGTTATGTTAGCAGGCAGTGTTTAGATTTACGTCTCTTGCTGCAAAGCATCCAGAGGAGTGGCTTACAACCTTTCTTTTTTCCTCATGATTTCTAGGCTGAATTTTATGCCGCAGACAATCTGCAAACAGATGAGGAACAGTATTGCACTAGCTTTATAGACTGGTAGATCCAGATTTTTAAAAAAGGCTTTTCTTTTAAGGTAAATATATTTTAGGCAGCTTGAAAGTTTCCCTATTCCACTACTTTGTTTAGGGGCAAGCAGGAGTTAACATTGAACGAATCAAACTTTTATAAATTACTCTGCTTTGGATGCAAATGTTTTATCTTCAGTTTTTGGTTTTTATTTAGAACTAAAAAGAATGTAGGGAAATGAGGTTATAAGTAGCATTACCTCTCTGTGAAAGCAAATGGTTTTAAGAATTGCATACAAGTTCACAAAAAAAAAGTGTTCTGGTTCACTTGTAGTGTTTATTCATTTTGGGGTTTTTCTTTGAACAAATCATCTTAAGACAGAACTCCAATAAGGTAATTTTATCTGTTTAAGTCTATACCTAAGATACTGGACCCAGGTCTCATATGGGAAGGACAGCCAAAGGGAGCTATGGAAAACAATAGATCTGCCAGGTTCTTGGAGCAGAGGCTTCTCCCCAGTCATGCCATTTCCAAGAACGTGGCACTCCCCACGGTCCACATTCCATGCTGGAGACAACAGGACAATTGTGGCAAGAGAACCAAAAGGAGGTGGCACTTCATCCTGGATTCCAGACCTGAAAGCTTTTGCCCATCTGTTCCCCCTCATGCAATGGCTAGCATTCAGCACAAACTACAGTCAGCTTAATTTAAGACATGCTCTCCAGAGTAAAAATCTTTTATGGCCAAAGAGAAAACAATGCATGTATCTCTCTCCTTTCCCCTTTCTTGTTATCTGCATGGCTTGGTTTTGGTTTTTTATTGCTTTCCAAGTAGTTGTGCATATTTCATAGCAAAAAGCAAAAAAGTCTCTTAAGAAAGTAGAAGAAACTGAAGTGAATATGAAGCCAAATATTCAGTCTTTCAAAACATAACAGTGGAAGCCACCTCCATATTTCACTGAGCTTACTAAAGTTTTATGCTCAAATCCTTAGAGGAAGCTCTCCAACAGTGAACCAGATAGTTGTGGTAGATCCTTTACCCCCCAGGAAATTGTCTTCCAAAGCCACATCACAAACCTCTGCTACACACAAAGAACAAAGTGCACAAGCATGCCAGGCTAGGTCATGAAACAGTCAGAGCTGCTTATCAGATCTTACCACCCAAAAGGTTTTAGATGTGCCTCATGCATTCTAACTTTCAACTTGTACCCCAAATATGCTTTTACAATTTCAACAATTCTTTCCCTTGTTTTGTGCCAAAAAACAACCTACTCCCACAAAAAAAACCCAAAACAAACCCAAAACCAAACACAAACTCCCTCCCAAAGTGAAAACTCCCTACCACTCTACAATTCATAGGCAGCTGTTTCCATAAGTTCTGTTAATTTGTGAACAGCGAACTAAGAAGCAGCAGTGCTCAGCCAGATGGCCTCTAGGAAACCAGTTGGGTTGAACTTTGGGGTACTTTAAAAAAGATTTTACATATATATTTATTTAATAAAAAAGGCAGTACATGTGATGTTAAGGAAAAATGAATCCCTGATTTATGGAGTATTATGCACAAATTAAAGAATTCAGCCAGTAGTAGGAAATCTGATGATCAGCAGACTGTCAGATCTCAGGGCAGAGTTGATATGTTTCTTAACTTGAAGATTATTTTTGATAGACTTTAAGGAAATGCAGTTTAAAGGAAGAATGTGAACATGGAGTGGGTGGATATTTGGCATGGAGAGTAAGGATTTCTAAGCATAAGGAACAGCATATAAGAAAGTGTGAAGATAAGAGTGGGAGAACAGTACATTAAGTGTCATTCAGGAGGGTAGTTCAAAAGAAATCTAGAGCTAGGAAGTATCTAGAGAAAAAATCTATTGTCTTACAATGTAAAGGCAGTGACCTTAAAACAGGATAAAAGGGGAAAAAAAAAATGATACGTGAGTAAAAAATGCTGCTCTCTTCCTCCTCCTAAACAACTTACTGCTTGAAAAAAACACATAATTTAGTTTAGGAGGCAGCCTCAGTGTTTATTGCACGGTGCTGAACAACCCCTCTGATGCAGGGCTGCTCACTGATAAATCACTCAGCAGAAATGGTTAATGCCAGTAGCACTCACAGCACCAGGAGATGATATTACCACCAAACATGCCTTTGCCTAAATGAGCATCATGTACTCAGTGACACAGTCAACAAACAGTCGTTTGGGTTTCTTTCTTCTACTCCTTCTCACAGATTTGGAGAAACCTAGCTATGTTTCTGCTGTCTGGACTGCATGTATTATACATCACATTCTAGTTACACATTTATTTTTGTCTGTGGTGTAGGCAGAGTTGGGAGCTTGAGATGATATTTTCTCAAATTTCCACTTGACTATATTCTTAGCTAATGTAAAAGGAGAACAAATATGCTTGTGAGGAGGGGAGTCAGACAAGATTAAGGAAAAAAAAATTAGTGTATTTTGGTGTTGATTCCTCCTTGTTTGAAAACAATCTTAAGGTTGCTACATGAAGTAAAATTTTCAAAAGCAATTTTTATATATAAACATTCTATAAACTGTTCTGTTCTCCAGGGCAGTGGGATATCGACCTTATATAATTTGGAAAAAACAACTACCAAAGGCCTAACTTAGAAACACAAATAAGTTGAAGGCAATCAGGGTAGAACACTATTGCTTAGTGACCCAGGAGCCTTGTTGCTAGTCAAGCAAAAAAATTTTCCAAATGAAGAAATGAAACAAAATTCTTTCTTTCCCAATCACAAAGGGTAATCCCAGAGGGCACACTTTGTTGAACAATCCAGCAATAAATAGCCTTCTTTGGCAGCCCAAAATGCTATTGTGGGCTTTCAAGCAGGGAGATTATACTTTGCTCTCCATCTTGCATAGATAAATGGTAAAGCAGCAAAACAAGCATTTTATTCCCATTTTATGCTTCCTGGACACAATCAGACTCACATTT